CGGGGGCAGGGAGCGGGGAGCAGGTGGCTGGTGTTCAGGCACAGGGGACAGTGCCAGACCGGGGGGAGCAGGGGGCACTGCCAGTGTGCGGCTGGGTGTCCTGCTCCAGGCTCCCACAGCCCAGTGAAAGGAGGCCGCTCACGGAGGGAACGGTGGAGTGCGCCGGCCGCCAGCCCCCCTTGGACGGAAGAGACGCTCACCTGCAGATCCTTCATCTCCTTCTCCGCCCGCAGCCGCTCGGCTGTCTCCGCATCCAGCAGCTGGGAGGCCGACTCGCCCGTGTGCCGCTCGTCCGTCAGCTCCGCCGTCAGCTCTGCCACCTGGGGAGCAGCAGAGCCAGGTTGAGTGGGTGCCATGGCTGGGGCGGGGGGAAGGGGCAGTGCCCAGGGATCGAAGTGAGGCGGGGCCTGGCCACGGGGCCTGCGCAGGGACCAGGAAAGGGAACCACCCCTCTGCCCTGCACCCCCGGGCCACGCAGCCAGCCGGGGCAAGCAGCTGGCCCCGCGCCCACGTGCCCGGCCGGACGTACCCTGCTCTCCAGCCGGTCGCTGCCCAGCCGCAGCTCGTTGCGCTCTCTCTCCACCTTCTCGAGCCTGCCCTTCAGCTGCTGGATCTCCTCCTGGAGCAGAGACGGCAATGAGGGGGGGAGCCCAGGGCTGGGGCAGCAGGGCCCCTAAAGCAGCAACGAGGAGGCATCACCAGTCCAGGGGGGCAGGGAGCCCAGGGCTGGGATAGCAGGGTCCCCCCAGGCTGCAGGAACTGAGCTGTTGTTACCAGATGCCAGTTTGGGGGTCTGAGCCCCCCACGCCAGCAGGGCTGGAGCCCCCAGGGCTGGGAGGGGCATGCAGGGGGCTGGGGCTCTCTGTGCCGAGCACTCTGCACGGCCTTTCCCGCAACCTGGTCTACGACAGGCTGTCGCTTTCCAACCCGTCCTTGGAGTGCCCCCCCCCACCTCCTCACGTCCCCCCCGCAGAGGGGGCAAGGGCCCGTTTCCCATTTGCACTCCCCTTCCCCGAGCGGCTGCGAGGTCCTACGCACGTCTTTGCCCCGGATCTGGTCCTCTGTCAGCTGCACCTCGATGAGGGGCCGCACCGTGGTGAAGAGCTTCCACCAGCGCCAGTCCTTCACCCCCTTGTTCTTCTTGATGTTCTTCTGCACGCAGCGGATAGCCAGCTCCTGGATCTGGGGAGAGCAGCCCGGGTCAGGGCAGCCCCACCCTGCACCGTGTCTGCCCCCGGGGGAGCCAATCCCCCGTGGAGAACACGGAGACTGGGGCCCTGGCCCGGGGGGAGGGGGAGGCATTGCCTGCTGGGGGCCTGGCGGAGCAGAGCCCCTGCCTGCCCGCACAGCCACTCCTGTCCCCCTCCTTCGAACAACTGCACCTGGTTTCTCCACTGCTGGATGAATCCCAGCCCCCGCGCCCCATGCAGCCATCAGAGCTACTCCTGCGGACACGCCCGCCAGCTCTGCTTTATGGACCCCTCAGTAATACAAGGAAGAGCTGACACAGCTACTTAATCTTAATGGAAGAGCCGCTGCCCCGCAGAGCTGCACACAGCCCCCTTGCAGTGCAGCGGGTGCCAGCTTGTACCCGTAACGTCGGCTCCCGGCTCCGGCGGGCTGCAGCCTGGAGTGCACAGAAGCCAGCGGGAGATACCTCCTCCTCCCCAGCCCCCACGCAGCCCTCCTGCCCGGCTCCTCACGGGGGGGCGGCTGTTGGCACGCTGGGACCGCACCGGAAAGCAGGAGCGGCTCCGTCTCCTCCGCGGTGGGTGCCCCGCAGGCAAGATCCCCCCCCGGGGGAAGCCCAGCTCGGAGGGGGCGGCGCTGAAGGCAGAGCTGCCCATTTTAGGCGAAGTCATGCAGCTGTAAACGGGAAGTGGAACATGGGGGGGGCCGGCAGGCGGGCTGCCCTGCTGAATACCTTTCTCTTCTTGAACTGCTGGCGCGCCAGGAAGCCCCTGCACGCAGCCTGGAAGAGTGCAATGTTCTTGCTCGTTTGCTCGTCTCGCTGCTCCTCAAGCTTGGCCAGGGTCCCTGCCCGGAAAAACACCTGTGCGGGAGGAGAGCAGTGAGCAGAGCCCCGGGGGGCAGACAGTGCAGTACAGCTCAGTGCCTCTTTTCTCACATCGGCCACTCTCCAAGCCAGCCTGGCCCACTTGGGGGAGCAAGCAGCCCCCAGGCAGGGCAGGCTAAGGAGGCGCGTGTACAGAGGGGCCCAAGCATGGGTGGGGGAGCCGGAGCGCGGAGGGGAGCCGCGCAGCTGCCAGCACCAGGCAGAGCCGCCATGGGGACAGCATGGCACATGAGGCCAGAGGCCGCGCAGTCTTCCCCCCTGCTCCCTGCAGCACACTGCCAGCTGCACCGGAGACAGGCAGCTCCCTCTGCCTCTCTGGGCAGCGCTGCTCCCCCAGGCCACCTCCCCGAGACCAGACTGCCCTGGGCTGCCCCCCTGCCACCGGAGTCCAGAGGCCCAGCCCTGCAAAGCTGGAGGCAGAGATATAGGAGTGACCCCGCTTGGCTGGCCTCACGGACAGAACAGCTCCCCTGCCTGCTTGCTGCCTTCAGACAGCCTCTGCCACTGCCCTGGGCTCCGATGTGCAGCCAGACCACCCCCAGCCCCGCTCCCGCTGGGGCCAGGCAGGCGCCGCGCCCTGGAGATGGGCTGTGACTAACAGCACCAACCCTTACACAAGGTGGGTGCAAAGGCCACATCTGGAACCTGATCGGCACCTGTGTGCTTTGGGCCAGGTGCTGCTGTGGCTGGGGAGCAGACAGACGGGAGGACGGACTGACGGACGGCTGGGGAGCAGATGGGGCGATAACCCGCCCCAGGGGGCGTGCAGAAGGCTGGTCTGCCAGGCCGGGCCAGAGGCAGTGCAGTCAGTACTCCTCTGCCCTCGCTCCAGCGCAGCGCCTCCCATCACCCCCGGCTCAGGCCCCAGACACCCCTAGGTAACAATAACCCAGAGGAGTCACTGCAGAGCGAACGCGTCTGTCTGACAGCAATGGCTGCGACGCCCCGTCTGCAGACCCGGGGTGGGGGGTACCTGGTGCTGGGCTGGGAGAACGTGAGACGTTCACTTCCACCCCCACGCTCTCCAAGGCCCCGGGTGTCTTCTCACATGAGCCACGCAGCACAGAGCGGCCTGACCTCTGCCAGGAGACTAGCTGGCCCTTTGCGTCTGCGGTGCTGCCCCAGACCGGGGAGAGGTGCCCGTCCCTGACGGAGGCCCCTGCAGCATGAAACGCCAGTCGCACCTCGCAGTCGGTGCCATGGAGCAGGCCTCAATACCACGTGGTCTTGGCGCTCAGCCCTCCAGTGTCCCCCGCTCCTGAGCAGGGGAGACCCCACCCGGCCGCTGGCTCTCTGGCCCCGGGGGGGCAGCAGGCACCGCAGCCGGGCAGAGCTTGCCTTCGGCCCCCTGGAATGCCGTGGGCGGGACGCGCAGACACAGCTCCTCCTGTCCCAGCACCCAGCGCGGGGAAGCCCGACGCCCAGAAAGACAAGGAAGCCTTTGTCTCCTGGAGCTGCCTGGCCTCCCGGCCCCCTTCCCACGCTGCACTCAGCGCATCGCTCAGCCAGCCTGACCCCTCCAGACAGGCCACGCTCCCACCGGGCTGCAGCTGCCCCAGGCTGTGCCCAGAGCAATGCACCCCGAGAATCACGGGTCTGGGGAGCAGGGCAGGGGAGAGGGATGCTAGGCCCCAGGGGAGCTCGCAGGTATCTGAGCTACCACTGTGAATGCTGGGGCCTGAGCGCTTGCATGACTCAGCTCTGGGGTGAGATGGCTGCTTCGTGGCCCCCCCATCCCCGTGCTCAGACACTCAGAGCTGGGGGTGAGAGCGAGCAGCACCCCACGCCCCCAGGGCCAAGCAGAGATCCTCTGCTGCTCTCAGTACACTGCAACCCAACTCACATGCTCCCCGGTGCCACTGCCAGAGCAAGCGGGGGGGGACAAGATCCCAGGGCCAAGCAGCCCTCCCCACAACCCCAACCCCATGCTGCGGGCCACCGACGGGACATGGGTGAGAGACACAGACGCCTCAGGGCTGCAGCCTGTGTCCCCGGCAAGGTGCCCGACGGCCCAGCCACCACACGAGGTTCCGGAAAGCAGCCTGGGCTGAGTGGCCAGGAGGAGGCGCAGCGAGCCGGCCTGCCTGGGCGCAGCTCTGCAGAGGGAGCAGTGCGTTTGTGTTGGTGCCAGGTGCCCACAGGGACTTGGCCCAGTCTGCTGGGAATGTGACTGGCTCTGAAGTGCTGTCAGCCTGGCCCCGGCTCTGCTGCGATCCCCCAGCACGCACCATGGCCGGGGGCCCCGGAGGTGCATTGTACAGCGTGTTTGTGACTGGTTTCACCTCCCCGAGGGGCCTCGCTGGGGCGAGGGGCTGCGCAGAGCCCGGGACGGTCCCCGAGGGCTGGCTGGGAATGGCAGGAGCGCCCGGAGGCTTACCCGGCTCAGGCCCATGTGGTAACTGCTCTTCTCGAGGTCCAGCGATTCCAGGAGCTCTTCCACAGCCTGCAGGGACAGGGGGAGTCGGCGTTGGGGCGGGCGGCTCAGCTGCAGGAAGGCGTGGCGGGAGCGCCCGGCCGCGCTCGCTGAGCCAGAGCTCGGCACTGCTAACGAGCCCTGCTGAGAGCAAAGGGGCACCGAACGCAGCGGGCAGCAGACACGCCCCTATCCCCCCAGCAGGGCACGTGCCCTCTGCACTCAGGGGACTCCCTCTCGCATGCCCAGCCAGCGTGCCACACGGGCTGTCTCCAGGGAGAGCTGCTTGCTCCCCGAGCAGGCACGTGCTGCCAGCTCCGAGGTGCAGCGAGCGCCGTCCCAGCCCCAGGTCCCACGTGCTCTTCTAGGGGGAGGAGGAGGAGGTCACGGCTAGTCAAGGAAGCCTTTGTCTCCTGGAGCTGCCTGGCCTCCTGGTCCCCTTCCCACGCTGCACTCAGCGCATCGCTCAGCTTCCCCGCTGCCCACGCAGCCAGCGCCCAGCCACCAGCCAGCCTGGCCACGGGGGACACTGCATGGTAGGCAAGGGCTGGAGAGGGGCTGCCCGCCTGCCCCCCCTTCCGCAACCTGCCTACGCGGTCCTGGCAGGCTGCCTGCTGGGTTCAACACTCGCCCAGTGCTTAGCCGTGAAGCAGGAAACATGGCCCTCGCTGGGGACCAGAGCGCAGCAGCCAGACCAGACGCTTCACGCGGCTCCGTCCTGCGTTCCCGTCACTGGCTAGAGCCCTCTCCCGGCCGGGCGTCAGCAATGCCGCCAGCTAGACCCCCCCCTGCGAGGGCGGAAGGTCCTTGCCAGGCTGCACGGCTGGGCTCAGGCCAATGGGAAGCCCCCAGCAAAACCCAGCCCATGGGATCAGTCCTCTCCCCTGCAGAGCGCGACCAGCACCAATGCCCAGTGCGGAAGAGCCAGCTCCCCACTCTGTGAAACACGCTGCGCTGCGCTCCTGGGGACTCTGTGACAGCAAAGCCACTCTGGGTACAAGGCCCTGCCTGGTCTCACAGCAGCGGGAACCCCACCACTCTAAGCCCCCTGGCCACACCACTCGCCTCATGGCCTGTCCCTCTCCATCCTCGGCTGCAGCACTGTACGCAGACTGTCTCCCTGCCACAGCCACCGACAGCTCCTTGGGGGGCTCCGGCCCGTCCCACGTCCCCATCCAGCACCTAGCGCAGGGGCCATGGGGAGCCATGACAAACTACACGCCACTTGCCGGGAACAGAGAGGAGCAGGGGCACACGCCAGCTGCAGGAGCTCTTCAGAAGAGGAGGGTCGGCTGCAGCAGGCTCCCTTTCTCAGCTGAAGGGAAGGTGCCCTGGCTACACTAGGCTCCGGGGGCACTCCTCTCACCATTCTCTAGCATGGGCACTTCCGGGGGCAGCATGGCCCGGGCAGAGAGCACTGCCTGGCCCTCAGAAGAGCTGGGCTCTATGCCCAGCTCTGCCTTTGGGCAAGTCACTGCCCATCTCAGTCTCCATTTCCCCACCCGCCCCATGCCTGCGGCGAGCTCTTCGGGGCAGGCAGCACCTGGCACAGTGCTCTGGGCACTGCCAACACGCGGCCTGCCCGCTCCGACACGCACCCGTTTCTCGTCCGTGACGATGTAATTCCGCCCGTGTTTCTTGGTCAGGTGAGGGGCCAGAACGTCGAAGCGCCGCCGGAACTCCGAGAAGACCATGTGATCCGGGTAACCTGGGGGCAGAGCACAGGAGAGCGGGCATGTGCCTTGGCCCCTGGCGCGGGAGGGCAGAGACTCAGGAGCCTACAGGAAGGAGCTGGTGGCGGTGGTGTGCACAGGCTGCCCCTCCCAGCCCCGACTCACCCAGCACCAGCCCGCAGAGCTGCGCGAGGACAGCAGCCCCACCTGGAGCCCCTGAGCATGGGAAGCAATTCCTATGTCCCGCTGCCACAAGGCACTGGGGGGAGCCAGCTGGGCTATGAAGCCCAGGGGAAGATCCTGCCTGCCTGGAGCCCTCGCCCTCCAGAGGCTCTGGGCTTGTCCCTCCCCAGGCCTCGCGGTGCAGGGACAGTCTGGCAGCATCTTGGGCAGGACGCAGGAGATGCAGAGACCCCCCATGCCCAGCACACAGGGCCACCCACCCAGGACATCCACACACTGGCTCTCCAGACCGCACCTCTCACCCAGCCCTCTGCCAGCCAAGGCTCAGGCACACGGCTGCAGCGGGCGCTGGCTTTTGGGAGCACCCTGCCGTGCACCCCAGCGCGAGGGGAGCGCCCTGCCCGGAGCCCACCAGGCGGGATGTGGCCCAATGGGCTCGTTCCCTGCGGAAAGGCCAGCGGCAGGGAGGGGAACGGAGGGCTAAACTACACATAGACACCTCTGGAGTGGGACCTAGCAGCTGTTTCAGAGCAGCACCAGAGCCACCCAGGCAATTCCTTGCCGTTGTGGAGGGTGAAGGGCCGCATTGCAGTCCTAGGGCAAGAGGCAGGTGAGCGCCTGGAAATGCAGCATCTCCTGCTGTGACTCCAGCAGCTCGTTCAAGTCCCACAAGGCGAGGCAGGGCCGGCACTGGGGAGGGAGGCCCCTCTCCCGAGTCACCGGACAGAGCCACAGGAGGGCTAGCGTGGCACACAGGGTGTTATCCCTGCGGAGCGCACCGGCACCTCGCACAGCATGCTGGTGAACGTGTCCACGCCCAGCCTCTCGGCAGGGGCAGGCACCAGCCAGCTATGCCACCCCAACAGCTGCCGGAGCCTGGCTGTTTCTCATAGGTGGTTTTACGCAGCCCTTGCTTGGCAACATTGGTTGTGGCTTTCTGCCAGCTCCGGAGAGAAACCAGCCGACCGCCTGACTTGGGACAGGGCTGAGGCGAGTGTGTGTAACTGGATCAAGTGACCAGGGATCTTATGAACAGACCCTGCTCTGGACTGTCCCTGGACTGTAATTAAATTGATGTGCAAAGATAGCGGAGTTGATGCTTCACATCTTAATTCATCATCGGTGCTATCGATGGGGCGCTGAGACTAGCACAGCCCAGGCGGCCGCGGGCCATCGATCCCGGGCTGTGCGAGCCACATTGATTTTGGTTCAGAGCAGTAATCTGGCTTTGAAATAATAAACACCAACTCCAGGGCAGGGTATCTGTGCTGATCAATAGATGAGGTCTCATTCTCTCCCCAGCCGAGCAGGGAGCAGCCCACCTGCAGAGTCAGCACTGACCAGTTGTAGCCCATTTCGTAATTAGGGAAAGGGGCAGAGACCCCTGGAGAGCGAAGGCCTCTCCCCACAGAGCAGGCACAGCCGGGGGAGCAGCGCTGGCTCACCCGCACTCCTCTGCTGCCCCGCACCGTGACCTCAGAGCGCCTCCCACATGGCCCAGAGTTCTCTTGTGCTCTGTGGTTTGGGAGGCAGGAGCAGGCACTGCTCTCCGGGAGTGGGGCTCAGCCCCCCAGGCCTGTCTGCGGCACAGGGCAGGTGGGCTGTTCGCCTGGAAGGTAGCTCTCCTGGGAGGTCACAGGGGCAGACCCATGAGCGTGACCTGCTGTCTCCAGGGATAAAAAGGAGCTTGTTCTCCAGGAGCCAGGTCAGTTCTTAGCGCCTTTGCCAAGGCTGCCCCTGGCATTAACTGACCCCCTGTTGTGATGTGGGCCTCTGCCCCCTAGGAACTGAGCTGGGCCCCATTGGGTGCCTGGCTTACAAGCAAGGTGAGAGTTACATGCCTCCTTCCTGGGGGGAGGAAGGGAACGCCCCAGTATTTAGCCTGGAATCCAGTTAAGGGATTTGCCACCTCTTCATTGTCCACAGCTCAGAAAATTCCCATCTGGCTTCCCTGGTCCCTGAGGGCAGCGCCCACCCTGGCACAGCTGCACTGAGTGCTAGCAATGGGCAGCGGTGGGACTCACCACGCGCCAGTACCCATTACCTGCAGTGCTGGAGGACCAGTCCCTGGGCCCCTCTCTGCATCCCACAGGCACGGGTCCCTGCTCGCGTCCCTGGCCCTCCCGTGCATACCGCAGTGAAGTCCAGCCCGCTCGTTAGGATCTGGGTGCTGGGGCTGCCTGCGCTGCCAGGAGCTGCACCCCATTGCTCCCGCAGAACAGGCCTGGGCCCGCCGCCCCGGAGGAGAGCACAAACCTTGCCGGTACATGCGCAGCGCGTCGAGGAGCCGGGAGCCCCTGACCTGGGCCCTCAGCAGGGGCACGTCAAGCTGCATGAGCCCTGCCTCACAGTGCTCCCCGTGCAGGTCCAGTTCGCTGCTGCTGATCCGCCGCGCCGCCAGCCCCTTGGGGTCCCCGCTCCAGCCCTCCGCTTTGGGCAGGAGGCAGTGCACAAAGTGGATCTTCGACTTCTTGATGGTGTCAACCAGAGCATCCTGGGGGTGGAGAGAGGATGGCTCAGCCTGGGCGTGCCGGGGGCTCGGGCACGGCCTTCACCCGATGTGGCAGAAGCTGGGGTGAGGGACCTTGGGGCAAAAGGAGAAACTGCCCCTCGGATCAGTCATGATCCTGCAGCTTTGTCTGGGGAGAGCAAAGCCCCTGCAGCCGGAGTTTGGTGCAGAGCGCATAGTGCCGTCAGGCTGGGGGGCAGGGACAGTCTAACCCCACTAGTGGCATTACCCAGCAGCTCAGAGCCCCCCGGCTCCCACGTCTCTGCACTGGGGCTGAGCAGCCAGTCGCTCGCTGTCTAACCCTGAGCACGCAGCATGAATGGCAGATGCTGGGTCCAGCTCAGATCCTGCAGGGACCCCGGTACCTGCTGCCAAGGCTTCTGGGGCATGCGACAGAGGCTGGACAGCGAATGGGAATGGACCAGATGGCAGAGGGGAACACCACCCCTCCAGGGCCCACGGGCACAGGTGTGCAGCGAGGGTGGGGGGACAAAGGGAGCCCTGCCAGCAGGAGAAGGGGGAGACGGGCACCCACAGCCTGGCTATTTGGGCAGGTCACTTCGGCGTTGCCTCCTGCAGCCAGGCCCAGGAGCAATGCCTGTGAGCAGCGCAAACTGACGACGTGTGCGCAAGGGACGGTGTGACCGGCAGAGCCAATATAAAGCAGCGGAGCAGCGAAATGGGTGGGCCAGTGCTTAGGGCAAACGGCTGGGCGCAGGGATTCCCGCGGGCTCCTAGCTCCGTCCCTGGCTGTTGCCCGTCTGTGGGAGAACGGGGCCTGGCCCCTGGGAGCAGGGAGGGGTCATGGGCGCTGGCTCTCACTCACTCACCACTTGCAGCTTGATCTGAATGCACAGTGACTTCTTCTTCACCGCTGCCACCCCCGTGGTGAAGGTCTTGCGCATGCTGGTGGCCCTGCGCAGTGCCAGCTGGGACCCGCCTTCCAAGCCGGCGATGGAGCCCGACAGCACCATGGCCGTACCCGCCCGGCCCATAAACAGGCTGCTGATGATTTTCCTGACATCAGAGAGAGAAGGTGACCAGCCGCCCCACGCATTTCCCTACCATGGCCCCAGGAGGTGATGCCACAGCTACAGCAGGCTGGGTGTGGCCATTCCTGGGCACCGCACAGGGCTCAGTGCCAGGGTCTCACCTGCTCTGGGGAGTGCGGGAATGTGTGTGTGTAGCCACGGTCAGTGTACGACCTCCTGTTTGTTCTGGGTCGGCCGAGGGAGTGCACGTTATCACCCATAACCCCCGGCCCTCAGCTGAGCGGGGAGCCTGGGACACACGTGAGCAGAACTGCGCGGCTGGAGTCCCACCACACACTCGGGGGGCAGGCAGCAGCAACCCCACCGGGAAAGGCACAAAGCCGGCAGAGAGGCATCTGCACGGGTGCTCGGAAGGGGGGGCTGACAGACACCTCCGGAAGATTTAAACATGGTGACCGCTGCCTGCACTATCTGCCTCAGGCACTGGCAGTAGGGTCAGGGGAGCCCCTGCGCTGACGATGCAGAGAAATCCCTCCACAGGCCAGACGCTGGACAGGGCTGGAAGCAGAGGCGTGGGCCCCGGCGGCACTGCGCACACCTCCCATGGGAGAGATGGCTCAGGCATGCTAACTCTTCCCCTAGCCGTCCCTGGCAAGATCATCTCACTGCTCTCGCTGCTGGCTCAGCTCCACAGACCCCGAGGCGAGCAGCGCGGCACTGGGACATCACAGGCATGGATGCCTGGCGGGGATGGGAACACACGGGTCACCAGCCCTGAGGCAGAGATGCGTAATTCACAGGTTTGCAGCGAAACCAGAGAGCCTCCTGGGGCCCTTTAAACCAGCACTGTAGAGCCCGGCGTGGCTCAGGACCACAGCCCATGCGTCACACCACGCACAGTCTGTGGCGAGAGGCCATGCCATTCCCAGCCCGCAGCCCGCTGCCCGCAGCCCGCAGCGTGACCCAGCTAGGGGGGCAGAATGGTGCAACGGGGCCTGAGAGGTCACCCAGCCCCTGCAACCACGTTGCTCAAAAGAAAGAGGCTGTTTCTCCCCTGCCCGGCTGCCAGGCATGGACCAGCGCCCAGCCACCCCTGCTCAGCAGCTGCTCCTGGGGGACTGGAAATTAAGATTTTGCCTTTCAAAGAGTGTGAACCACCCCAGCAGAGCAGCCACGCCAGCCTCCCCCCTCCCTGGGGCCGTGTCTTGTGCCCGCCGACCCCAGGCCCTTCCCCCAGCCAGAGCCTCTTACTGCACAGCCGCTGCTTACTTCTGAGAGTCCTGCAGGACAGCTGCGGCGTTCTGAGACGCTGGGTTCTGCCGGACATAATGCAGCCAGCCTGTGGCGTCGTACTCCACCCAGTTGGTGCCGTAGCTGTGACCAAGGAAGAAGTGGCGGGGCTTGTCGCTTCGGAGTAACGGGCTGTGGCCTGTAGGGACAGAAACCCCATTAGCGAACCGGTCCCCAGCGGGGCCAGAGATCCCCTGTCCTGGGCCAATGTGGCACAAGAGCAGTGCTCCCTCGAGTCTGTCCCACCCATGTGCACCAATATGGAGGCCATAGGATCTCAGGGGTGGCAGGATAGGCACCCCTCCCCTGGCCCCAGCAGGTCTGGGCCGGGGGAGAGCTGCTCTGGCCACGCCACCCTGGCAGGTCCAGGGCACAGGCTGAGCTGGGGCCCGGGGAGGGGCGCCCCCGGCAGGTTGGGGGCTGAGTTAGGTGGGGGCTGGAGGAGTGGCCGGTCCCCGGGCAGGTTTGTGGCGCTCAATAGGCTGCTGTGTGGCCGCGCAGCTTACAGGGAACTTCGCACAAGAGCCCTGGCAAAGCTCACACACAAGGAAACAGAGGCTAAACCTCCGTGCCAGCGAGTCTCAGCGCCCAGGTCAACGGATTCGGGCTCATGCTGTGGGGCGCAGACGTGTCCGCTCGGGCTCGGGGCCCCTCCCCGGGTCTCCAGCCCGAGCACCGTCGGCTATTGCTAGCCCTGCAGCACGAGCCTGGGGTGAGCAGCACCGAACACCCCCCAGGCTGAGCTGCCAGAGCTGGAGAGCAGCCCTATGCACAGGACAGGAGCCTCCCCTCCCCATCTCCTGCCCAGGTGCCCCACCCTCCCCTGGAGGGGTGCATAGCCCTCTCCCTGAGCCTGCGGGGCCCCTGGGCCATGGCTCCTGGCACACACAGGCCACACACATTGTACGTTTCCTGTACAAAGGACACAACTGGACTGAAAGCCTCACTTCGGCGCGAGCCAGGAGTGGGGAGGGGAAGAGCGCAGAGGGCCTGGCTGGGCCTGCGGAGGGCTGGCTCCCCCCTTACCTTTCTTATCTCCCTCCTGGGGCCCGTAGTAGGCGAAGAGCCGTTCCAGCAGCGTGTCCTCGTTTCCCGCAGGCTGCAAAGCTTCCTCCTCCAGCAGCCACAGGAGCCCACGGGCCTCATCCGTGCGGGCCAAGGAGCGCACCTGCAGAGACGGTCCCAACCGCATGCATCACCCGAAGCATGTCTGCTCCCTACCTGCTGGGCACGCGGGGACTGGCAGCACGCGCCCTGGTATGCCCTGGGCCGAGAGCCCCCGAAGAGGGAGAGATCTGTCCTAGCCCCAGCCCTACGGGAGTCTGGGACACGTTCCCCGGGACCAGTCAGAGCGAGTGGCAACGTCTCGCTCTGAGTAACACTTAATAGATTCTTTGCAGAGAAAGAATCAATACTTAATACCCGAGTCAGTAAAACACATCAGCCAGGAGCGTTCGCACCCAGCCACCGACAGGCAAATCCACCGCGCAGAGCTCAGCGAGATGCACCCACCCCATCTCAGGCCCACGCTCTCCCACTCTGCCGCTGGCTGCTCCCCTGGCTTCTCACCGGGTAGCAGGGCGAGGGACCAAGGCCCTCCCTGCCTCTGTCAATCTCTGCATGAACGGGCCTGGGCGCAGGGTGAAGCCACTCGGGTTACCCCAGGAAGGCAATTCCCGCCCTGCAGGCAGGGGGCGCTCGGTTCCCGTGGGGTCAGTGTTACTCAATGGCATGCACCCCTGGGTGCCTCACTGCCCTGGGCCTGCATTCATTTCACTCCTTTACCACTTTATGGCGTTTCCTATTGAGCCTGTGGCAAGATCTCCGTGCAGGGAGAGTCACTTCCCCGAGTGCCTGCTGGGCCGGCGGGCAGGGCTGCTAACACAGCTGACCACCCTGCCGCCTGGCGCTCCTGCACCGCAAGCCAGGCTACACAGTAAGGTCCCCCTGCCACTGCCACCCTGAGGATCAGCCTGGCTGCCCTCTTTCTCCTTGGCAAGCCTGTCGCTCCCATCCTGGCCCCATGGTGCCAGCGCACCCCAGGCAGACTGCGTCTTCCCGCTGATGCCAAGCCCTGGTCCTGCCCATTGAAACCCCGCTGGGCCTTTTCTCAAGGGGAAGCTCTTAGAGCCAGAAGTGCCACTGGGCCTCCCTAAGCTCCCTGACGCTCCAATGGGCCACAGGACCCTTTGCTTTCCAGCCTGTGCTGTTGCGCTGCGCTGTTGAAGTGCTGCTCAGTCCTGCCCCAGAGACAGCTGCCTTTCAGTGTCGGGGGAAGTGACTCTACGCAGTCAGGAGGACAGGCCCCCATGTGCCTCCCGCACCCAGCCCCCAGCCCCTGGCAATGGCGCCCGTTTCCCAGGGAGCTTCCAGAGCCCCCCAGGCAACAGGTACTCAGCCGCACTCTCCAGCACTGCCTGGGTGATCAGGGCAGGGCCTCCCCCTGCCGTAGTCACTGCTAGCGGGGAGGAGAAGGGCCCTGGCAGCGTGGGTCTGATTCCGAAAGCTCCATGAACGACAGCAATGGATCGGCGCCGAACGCAGCCCCTCCGTCGCCAGGGGAAGGGGCAGCAGCAGCTCTCAAGCCTGCTGTTCTCCTGCTTCTTCATTGGCCGAGGCGTTAACGGGAGAGGTAATTACTGGTGACGTGGCCCCACCGCCCAAATCTCCCCCCGCTTGCCTTGAGCCGTCTGCCCGGCATGATCGCCCACCCCAGCACGCCGAGCAAAGCCGCCCATGCTGCTGCCCCACGGCAACCCCCAGCTCGGCAGCAAATGTGGTCGGGTGGGTGGCCGGGCTCCGAGGGAAGCGGGGCCATTCCCAGCCTTGGGCACGGAGAACAGGGCGGGACGGGGCTGAGAGAGGTCTGGAGGATCACCTCTCTTCCCCCCCAGACACTCCCAGCAGAGAGCTTCCCTCAGGGTGACCCTCAGCCGCCCACCCTGCAGAACTCCCAGCAGGGAACCAACAGGGGGAACGGAAACAGTTCTCCCACCCGAGAGCTGGGCGGTCTGGAGACGAGTGAGGGGACCGCCGGCCCCACGAGCTGACGCAGAGGCCACGGCCCACCCCAGAGAAGAGGTCAGACTGGGAAGGGACGGCTGTTCCTCCCAGGAGGGGAAGAGACAGACTGTGCCTCCCCGCTGAGCCCTGCTGCCCCAGCATGGGGAGGGCCACCTCCCCAACAGCTCTGCAGACATCAGGACTAACTGCATCCCCCTGAACTGGCTCTGCCAGCAAGTGGGCAGATCAACGCCACCCGGAGCAGATCAGAGCAAGCCCCCGCTAACGGCAGCCTCCCCACCCAGAGCCAGAAGCCTCTCTCTGTTAGCGCCAGGTAACCAGCTGCTACGGAGCAGCTCCCAGCACGGCTGCAATCGCGTGTGACACTGGCGTTAACTTGGCATCTCCCCACCAATGTAACCCCAGGAGTGCATCTGCCAGGGGACTGAGGGGTCTCCTCTGCATGCAGGCAAAGACAGCAGAACCTCCTGCAGGCTTCTGGGTGCTGGTGACTGGCTGGGATCCCCTGGCTGTAGCTAGGAACAGGGAAACACCCTGCTTTGGAGGGGAGCTTGGAGCCATGCAGCCTCCCCTCACCCTGTCTGCACACAAGAAACCCCCCAGGTCCCCCTGCCCAGCCCTGTCAAGTTCCAGCCCAGAGCAAAGGGCAACTCCCTGGCCACTGCTTAGACAGGGGGCCCTGCAAAGCTGCTGGCTCAGGGAGCAGGAGGTGCTCTGGGCCTGGAAAGGAGCTTTCGACACGGAGGGGAGGGGAGGGAGGAGAGACATTCTTGCCATGAAAGCCAGCGTGCTTACCAGTGCTTGGTGTGAGGCTTGGTCTACAGTGGCTACAGAGCCAGAGGTACTGGGCTCTATGTCATCTAATGCAAGCTCTATGCTTTCCTAGAGAGGACGGACAGACGAAGGGTTAGTGCCTGTGTGACTAAAGATCACAGTTACGGGACCCAGAGAGGGTCAGTCAGTACATTAGTCTGAATAGAAGCTACAGGCCATTAGACCACAGGGGTTTCCCTGGAGAGCCCCAGCCTCCCTCCCGCCGGTCAGCCCACCGCCCCGGGCTGCTCCCCACAGTACTCAGCTCAGGAAGGGGAGTCCCTGGGGCAGGGGAGTGGGGTCATGGCCCTGGCCAGCGTGCACTATTCAGGGGTGAGCCGGGGGCCCGGGCTGGGCTGTAATCACACCCGGGGGGGCACCGCCGTGTCCCCCAACAGGGAAGGCAGAGCAATAACCAGGCAGCGTGCTGTGCGAAGGGAGTCGGCCCCCTGGGCCACGCAGGAGGCAAAGAGCGGGAGCTCCCAAGGCTCGGTCACACTCCTCCAGGGCGAAGGCAGAGCAGCTGCCGCTGGGGTGTTTGGAAGGGGCTGGGAGAGGGCCCATGGTCCCCCGTGAAGTGAGGATTGGGGGCACTGGGTAAAGCGTCCCGGGGGAGCCATCTCAAACAGACGGGGGAACTCGGCCTCCACGGTCTAGCCAATCCTGGAGTCATCACCAAAGGGTGGTTCCTGGGTCACGGACACCAGCACCCCAAGGAGCTGGGCTGAGACCCAGAGCCAGGGCCAGGAGCAACGACCACCCTGGGCTGGCTTCGCACCAGGCTCTCGCTCCCAGAGCCCTCCCCAGCCTGGGGGTTCAGGGTTAGCTGGGCCACGCACCCTTCCCACGTGGGCACTGAGAACCCGCCCAGCCGTGAGCAAAGGGGTCTGGGCCCAATTAGCCCCCTGCAGCGGGTCCGACCTGGCTGGTGGACACAGCTCCCCTCCCACCCTGGGGAGTTTGCCAGGAGCCAGCCCTCCATCGCTGCCAGGGGTGACTGCAATGCACAGGGCTGCTAGCAAAGCCACCAGTGCCCAGGGCAGGGCCAATGGCAAATGGCCTGTTCCCGGGGAAACCCCTGCTGCAAGAAGCACCAGATTCAGAGCTACTGATTAGCTGAGTCCTGTCTAGGCGTGACTGCCCGAGTCACCTACAGGGTTAGAAATCAGCTGGAGTCTAGTAGATGCTAGAGCAGAGAGGAGACGGCAACACAACTAGCTAAGGAAACAGCCTCCGCTGCCCCTTCCTCACGCCCTGTACAGCCCAGAGCCACCGTGCCCTGGGCAAGAGCAGCGCCCGCAGCTTCTCCGCAGCGGGGGGGCTCGCCAGACCCTCGCTGGGCTGCTGCCGGGGAGCAGGTCTCTGCCACGGGCCGAGACAGGGCTCCCTCAGGCAATACCTCCTTGTATCGCTCCAGCTCCTGAGTGAAGGTGCGCTCGTGGAACAGCGTCTGCAGCCGCTCCTGGGCGTAGTTGTGGCACAGCTCCTCAAAGCTGGCCCCGCGGCTCTGGTTTGCCAGCTCGGGGTTCTGGAAGCCTGGGGTGTCCACAAGCATCATGGAGCACAGGGAATGCTGGCTGGACTTGAGAGCCCTGCGTGGGGGGAGAAAGGGGCTAGGGCACACCAGGCTCCACGCAGGGCATGGGATCAGACCAGTGGGCCCCGGCCTGGTCCTGTGCCTTGTCAGGAGCGACGCCTGCAGCTCCAGAGGAAGACAAACGCCCCCGAATGCCCTGGCTACACGTGTGAGGTGAACCACTTCCCCCAGCGATTACACCTGGGCAGGAGGGCCCCTTTCCTGGCACCCGGCTGCCCTAGGGTAGCGCTCTCTGCTGTCCTTAATGCATCAGAGCCCTGCCTGGGCCTTGCTCCCGGCCCTGGAGCACACAGCGGGACGGCTGGAGGGGCCGGGCGAGGAGAGCATGCCAGACCAGGTCCCTTCCCCGAAGCGGAGCCTACACGTGCTGGAGCACGGACAGCTCTCCCTGGCTGCCGTCTCCTGCCACCAGCCGGGGGGATGCTGAGCTCCAGCAGCAGGACAGCTTGGTGTTCTGGGCTTGGCCAATGCACACGGGGCCAGGACGGCTCACCCCAGCAGGGGGCGTGAGGCTCCTGCCCTACACACACCCCCCCCCACTGCACTCTGTGCCAGCCAGGGGCTGGGGGCTTGGCTTGGTCTCGGCGCAGGCACGTACCGGTTCAGCAGCGAGATGAGCAGCGTGAAGAGCTCTGAATATAAGCCCGAGGCCAGGCCTTCCAAGCACTCCAGAGCAGTCAGCCTGGAGCCTGGGGGGAGAAATGATTCCAGAGTGAAGGCGATTGCACTCCCCCCACCCATATGCTGTGCGGCTCAGGGCCCCGCTTCCTGTGCCAGGGCAGGACCGGCTCGGGGAGCTGATCCAGGGGCTCTGAGGGGGAGTGGGAACGGCTGCACGTCAGTGCTACACCAACTCCCTGGCTGACGCCCGCTATAGGCCTCTGCCCTTGCCTATCAAAAGAGGGTGGTGACTCGCGAGGGTCTGGACCCCTTGCTGACCTCAGCGGGAGATGCTGGGAAGTGGGTGGCAAGCAGTGGCTGTTTTGAGGAGGAACCTGGAGTAGGACTGGGGCCCGTCAGAAAAGGGGGTGGGATTCGGGGCCCTCAGCTGTTTTCTGGGCTCAGACCGTCCTGTGTTCTGGTCCACAGCTCGGGCAGCTCCGTGCTGGGCAGGGGGAGAAGGGGAAACCCAGGTTTCAGCATGTCTAGTGAGCAAAGCCAGGTAGCCTGGGCCACAACTCCCACATCATCACCCTCCTTGCAACCCGAAAGCAAAATGCTTCCAAAGTGACCCCTGGTAACAGCCGGCACCCCCAGAATGCCAGGGCACGGAGAGGAAGGGCAGCTCAGTGCTTTGGGTGCTAGCCTGGAACTCGGGGGATTGGGCCCGATCCCTGCTCGGCCTGGGGCAGTCACAGCCGCCCTGAGCCTCGGCTTCCCCCGGTACCAGGGGAACAGCCCTGCCCTGTGTCTCCCGGGGCTGGCCCTGAGGGCTGTGACATGCTCAGACGATGGGGCCCAGCTCAATCCCATTCAGAGACTCATGACAAGGAGATGATGGGGTCCAGGGGAATCCCGCTGTCCTATGTGTTCATAGGGCAGTGCTATTACCCCCCATGGGAACAGAAGCCAGGGAGGCAAAGGGACATGCCCAAGGTCGCGCAGGCAGTCTGTGGTGGAGCAGGGAGTTGAATGAATCCTGGTCTCTCAAACTCCGGGGCAGTGTCCTAACCACTGGCCTATGCTCCTCTCCCACTTGGCTAGTTACAGACCTAGGAGGGCGTCAGCTGCAAAGGAAGGCAGACAGTCGGGGGAGGGAAGCCAGGCTCCGGGCACCTGTAGGAAGTGCCATCACCTTGCTCGATGCTATCGGCTGACACCATCCGCGCCCCGTGTTCGGCAGCAACCCAGTACCTGAGCCATCTCCCAAGCCGGCTTCCTCGGGCCCCTGGCGGAAGGACGTGGATCGCTGCAGGCTCCCTTTGGGCTGGTGCTTGAAGATAGATGAAGACAGCTCCTCCAGACTGCAGCCCAGCAGGTAAGCAGCCTTCTGGGCCCACTCGTGCCGAGCAAATTGCTTCCTCCCAGCTAGTGGGGAGGGAGAGAGTCTTAGTGCTGGGAATGCAGCCGGTTCCCCGAGGGGCTGTCTAGTGTCGGGGCATCCCAACCCAGGCATGGGGCCGGCGGCAGGTGTCCTCAAAGAACAGCAATGCCGGGGAAAGAGATTCAGTGCAAGACAAAGCAGCAGCTAGGAGTGGCTGGGGAGCGCGGGAGGGGACACGGCAGTGTCAGGGCTCGGCGCAGCCAACCCTGCTGTCCAGCCTGGCCACTATTCACTCGCGCAGCTCGAAGAGCTCGGTGCGGAGCGGGGCAGACTGGGCCGTAAGGAACATGGAGTCCGTAGTTTGAGGAGAGGGGACTGGCGCTCAATGGCTGAGGCCGATGGCTGAGACATGCCGCCGTGCTGGGATAACAGAAAGGCGCTCTCGTGTTCCCACCCAGCAGTGCCCCGAAGCCAGGGCTCCAGACAGTGCCCGTCTGGGACGGAGGATCCACCTCGGCGGGGGGCGACGCAGTGCACGTCCCTCCCCAGCATGTCAGGGAGCTGCCCTGGATCCCGGCTGGGCTGGGCTGGGCTGGGTCTTAGGACACCTCTTGCAGAAGCGGGAGGAGCCAACCTCCCGGCAAGGCGCCGGGCAGAGCTCTCGCTGCAGCTCTTCCTTCAACCGCCGCCCCCGGCCGCCCCGGGGGACAGGAAACGTGGGGACGCCCGAACCCGAAGGCCTCCGGCTGCCCCAGGGGGAGGGGAAACGCGGGGACGCCCGAACCCGAACGCCCCCGGCTGCCCTGGTGGGAGGGGAAAACGCAGGGATGGCCAAACCCAAATGCCCCCGGCTGCCCTGGGGGAGGGGAAACGCGGGGACGCCTGGCACCAGGCAAGGAGCCGGGGACACACAGGGAGAGTGAGTTAATGGGTAACACGTGGAACACAGCAGTGGGGAAGCAGAGAGAAAGGAGGCTTTACCTTCGTCGGTGTCTGCATTGCCAAGGGACGGCATGCACCATGCAAACAAAAACAGGGGGTTAGAATGCACCGGTGACAGCTGCTGCCAGCGAACACCTGCACTGGGTGGACGGGCCACCCCTGGGGGCAAGCGTGGCAAGCCAACGCACACTGGCACAGACACACACAGACAGACACAGACACGGACATGCCACCCCCTGCCGGGGCCCCTCCTCGAAGCCAGGCAGCCACAGGAGGCACACACCAGCCCCCAACCCAGGGCCCGGCCCCCATCTTTCCACTCACCCCTCTGCCCCCCATGCCAATCCGCTGGCTGCTCTCACCAGCCCCAACCTGGGGCAGGTTTGGGCCCGCACAGCCCCATGCGAGGTGGCACTGGGGCCCCATACAGACCCGTCAGGCCGGAGTCAGCGAAGGCCACCGCGCTGGGAGCCTCTCATCAACAGGGCAGCCAGTGGGCCACGCTCGCAGACAGATGTGCCCTGCGGGCCCCACGGCTCAGAAAGCCCTGAGCTTCTCTGGGGCCATCCTGGGACCTTTCCACCTGGCCCCGCTCAACATGGATCAAAGACAGCCCCTCCCTCAAGCAACTGCCCATGGAGCTGCTGGAACGCGGAGGGCAGCACATCTAACCCCGGCTCCAGGGCAGCCACACAGAGCGGGGCAAGGTTGGGCCTGGATTGAGGGCCGGCCTGTGTACTGAGGGGCTGTGATCCAACCTCATGGGCTGCCCCGGCTGCCAGCCAAGGGGCCAGCTGGCAGAGGGGGAGGGGCAGTCATGCCACGGGGCCCTTCTCCCCCTCTCCAGCAGGGCCTTGGTCTGCTTTGTGAGACACCGCACGGGCAAAAATCACCGTCACGCCCCGAGCATGGTACCTAGCAGAGCAGGATCTGCAGCACACAGCGACTGAGGCTGCTCCCCCGCAGACCCTGACTCCACTCCAGCCCCCTAGCTACAGAAACCACCTCTTAATTAACACCAATGCCAGGGGGCTGGTCTTGCACCAGGTCCCCTCCAGCTTGGGGATGTTATGAAATCACCTTCCCCTGCCCCCCGCAAAACAGCCCCTGTGGTGCAATGGTGTGAGGGGCCTTCCCCGGCGGCGCTCTCTGGGCTGTAAAATCCAAGCCCGGCTAGTCACAGCAGGAACCTCTGGGACCCGTCTCAAAAGGGAAATCCCAGGGCGCCAGCGGGGAGCAGATGCCAGCGTGACCCACCGCCCTCTGACACTGCTGGGGGGGCGGGGCGAGAGCGCGGCAGACAGACTTCCCCAGAACGCCGCCTCGGACAGATGAGCTGCCCCCTCCTGCTATCTGACATGGCCGAAGGCCCGGGTGAACCCCAGCTCAGAGAGAGCGCTGTGAGCTCCCAAATCACGCCAGGGCAAACCCAGCAGCTCTGTGTCTCGTCACACGGAGCGCTCAGGGCCCTGCACTTGCCCCAAGTCCACCTGGGGCTCTGCCTTGGCCGTAGCCTCTCTAGGCACTCTCCCAGCTCTAGAACTGGGCCTTCCAGCCAGTGCCGAGACACAGACCTGGCCCCGAGAACCTGCCGCATGCCCTGCCGGGGCAGACACAATACACCGGGCCTATGACCACACACGCTGCTCCGGCAGCCTGGAGGGGCTCCTCAGAACACAACGCAGTGGGATTGGGATTGGTGTTTCCCCCCCAGCTCAGTGTGCAGCCCCGCCCCCATGCCACCAGCACAGGGCACGGAGCAGACCCCACAGCCCCAGGAGAGATCAGAGGCAATTGCCAACTCCTCCTGCAAAGGGCCCTGCGAGAGGAGGACAATTATTAGTCCAGGAACGGGAGGACAAGGCAGGCCGTCCTCATGCACACGTCAGCCGCCTGCCCAGGGAAGCAGCCAAGACCTTCTCCAGGGAGGGGATGTGGCTTCCGTCCCTGCACAGTGTGGCCACTAAGGCTTTCCCCGAGCCAAGGGCTGGAAACCCAAATATCTTCCCAATGCTGCTGCCTCAACTCAGGACAGGCCTCAGACCTGCTCTGCTTAGCCTCAGCCCCACCCCACAGGTCTCTCCTGCAGCAACCCAGCGCCACCAGCAGCATGCCCATGCTCCCTCCCGTTTTGGGGGGGAGGGAGGAAGCTGGGGAACACTAGGGCTGGAGCCAGGGCCGTGCAGCGTCCCCTCCGCCCCCAGTGTGTGGACAGCCTTGCACAAGGCCCTGAGGTCAATGGTGAGCTGGTGATTTCCCTTGTGAATGACAGTGGATGAAAGCTGGGTGGATCGAGCACTGGGGATGATCCTGGCCCCAAAGCATGCCCCACCGGGTGCAGCCAGGAGTCACCAGGGCGCAGAGCACACAGGGCTGCCGAGAGGGAAAGAAGGAAGTTCTACGCAGGGTTCACTAACCCCCAGGAGTAGTTCGGAGAGAACCTCCCCTGGGCACTGCCCTGTCCTGTGGGGATAGGCCTTTCAGTCACCTCTCGGGAAACAACCGTGCATGGAAAGGCAGTTCAGACTGGCAAACCTCGGCTTATTAAAGCGCCCAGTGAAGTTCTGAACCGTTCGTTACCTTTGGTGGCTCCTGCGGCCCCCAGATGATAAATGGCCCCCAGGACAAGCCAGAACGCCTTCTGCTCATCGCTGGAGATGCCCAGCACTTTCATGGCAGCCTGGAGCTTGCTGAACTGCTGAGCTGCCTTCTGCTTTTCTTCCGGCTGGAGAACAAGGGAACACGGCGCCGCTGCCTCAGGCAAAGGGGTGGCTTTTCTCACCGCTGGCTAACAGCCACCTGCTCTGGGCCAGAGCTCCAGCCCCCGCCCTGCTCCCCTCGCCCCAAGGCCAGGTCTGCATGGATCCCGGGGAGAGTACCTGGGCCAGGGCAAAGCAGGCGTCCTCGCAGAGGTCACGCTGCCCCCGTGAAGGACAGAGCGGGGCGTCCGGCACGTGCAGGGAAGGCTTTAGTTAAGCTTTTAATTAAAAATCTACATCAAAGGCTAATCCTGGGGCTCAGGTAGAGAGCAGAAGAGTAAACAGATGGCGCCCAGGCGACGGAGAGTCCGTCTCTCTGGGAAAGGCGGAGGCTTCACCATCACTGGGCTGCGTCGCTCCCCGGGAGCTGGCAGGCAGCAGCAGCCCCCAATGGACCGCCCAGGCCCCCTGGTCTCTGCAGCTGTTCCAGCAGCCCCACGGTGACTGTGTCGGCCTTGGACTTTCACCCGAGGGCCCCCCTCCTCAGCCAGGCCCCCAGGGCCCAGCCCATGCTGGGTCAGGCCTGGGGAGGGGGGCCCTGCCCATGCAGGACCGCGCCCTCGTAACACCAGCCCTGCCCGGCTCTGCCCTGAGTCACCTTGGACAGTGGCACAATCCCAAACACGTTGGTCTCTGCGAAGTGGCTGAAGTGAAGCTCGGTTCTGCGGGGAGAAAACACAGCGTTACAGGGCCGGCCTGCGCTGACAGGCCCCACGCCAGGGCCAGGTTCCCCCAAGGCCTGATTCAGCTCAACACACCAAGCCCTGTTCTCTGGAATAAGATTCCCTGCCGCAGGGCACGGAGGCAGCTTCCGGGACCCTGCTCTCTCTCTCGGACCCCTGTAGGCTACGCAGACTCATGTCGCCGCGTGCCTGATGGGGCAGCCAGCCCATACCATGCCAGCTGCACTGCCGGCCCCTCTCTGGCCCCTGCCATCTCCATGACCTCCCAGAGACGCCCATGGGCTTGCAGCCCCGTACCCAGCGGGCCGAGGCTGGCTCTCAGCGGTGGGCAAAGCGAGTCCTGGCAGGGGAATGGCTGGAGCAGAGCTTAGAGACCCGCCAGCCTTCAGACCGTCACCACAGCAACGGACCCCATTGCCAGGGGAGGGCGAGAGGCAGCGATGGGGGCAGGTGGCGCAGGGCTCACCTGAGGGCGTTGTCCGTGCCAGCCAGCAGGTAGTAGAAGACATTGAAGGTGGCCTCGTTGGCCGGCCGCTTGGTGACCCTCAGCTTCTCCAGCAGCATCGTCTGGGGACCAGAATGGAGACATTTGGGGCGGGGCTGTGGGGCACTGCCAGCTGCCCACCGGCCAGGCAGCACCAGTGCACAGGCCCGGCTCTGTTCACTGGGGCTGGGCCTACTGCAACGGCAGCCCAAAGCCCCTGGCGCTGCTGGCCCCTTCCCTTCCCCTCCCCCCTTACCCCCAGCCCTGCATTTTCTGACTCATGGGCGGGCAGCACCCTGGGGCAGGGACCATCTCTGGGCTGCCTGTGTCTGCCCGTGCCTGGCACAACGGGGCCCAAGGCCCTTCAGTGTTAGCCCAACAGACGCAATCAGTTACACCCAGCCTGTCTCTAGCAGGGGCCTTCCAGCTGCCTCAGTGGGAGGTCAAATCCCAGTCACACACCGGGTGCCGAGCTTTCCCTGGGGGCTGAGCTATTCTTGCCTGCCCGCCAGTGTCACGGAGTCCCCGGGCGATGCTCTGGAACTGCTCCCCACAAAGCCAGTCAGGACTTTGGGGAGCCTCCTCTCCCTCGGAGCAGACTGTCTTCAGGGCAAGAAGCTCACATGGCTTCACCTCCTGGGTCTGACCTTGGAGCATTCGCATATGCCCCTCCGTGCGCTTCCCACAGTGAGTCCGCCCTGGCGGGGTCCTGGGGAAGCCAGAGGGTCCTGCACCCCCACTTTGCAGTCAGACGTGACTCTCAGCCAGCCAGTAAAACAGTGGTTTATTAGATGACAGGAACACGGTCTAAAACAGAGCTTGTAGGTACAGTGAATGGGATCCCTCAGCCGGGTCCATTCTGGGGTCCCGTGAGCCAGACACCCCATCTGTCCTCACTCCTAGTCCCCAGACAGCTCCAAACTGACTCACCCTCCAGCCCCTCCTCCTCTGGGCTTTGTCCCTTTCCCGGGGCAGGAGGTCACCTGATCTCTTTGTTCACCTTTAGCTATTCTCTTGCAGAGGGGAAGGGCCTGGCCATTTGTTGCCAGGATACAAAGTGTCGGCCATTTATGCACACTGGAGACTTAAGACATGCATAGGGGAAACTGAGGCACCCACACAGTATTCAGAGGAAACATTAAGAACAGTCCCACTTCGTCACAGCCAGCGACTGCCTCTGCCCCATGCCCTGGTCACGCTGCCACGCCCCTGCCCCGTCTAACCCCAGGCTAGGGGTCGCTCTCATTGGGTGGCAGCTGATTATGTCAATACAAACACTGGTAAAGCGACAGACTCTGAAGCCTCCTCAGCCTCCCTGAACCTATCTCCCCACAGCTGATTAGCAGCTCTCGTTACACGGGCGTACAGAGGGACTTGGCTGAACGTTAACAGCTGCGCTCTCCTTACCATGCTGGTGCCAGCTTTTATGAGTGGCGGAAGGGAGAGAGACGCCTTGTTACGGGAGACTAATTCCGCGAGGAAAGGAAATCAAGGCCGTCTGCGACGGGGCCTCGCCTCGCCACCTAGCTGTGCTGTGCTCCAGATGTGAAGGAAGATGAGCACCGGCAAAGGAGGCCAATCATCACGGAGTAGATTTACCAGCAGTGCAGCTGCTGAGCGTGGCTGTGAACACGCAGCTCCGCTTTCAAGAGAGAGCCCAGGCAGGCAGCCTGCCAGCGCCAGTCTAGCCCCACACTGAGACCAGCAGGGGGCAGCTTTAGCTCTGATCTGGAAGGAGGGGAGTTCAATCTCCAGGCCCCAGTGGGTCCCTGGCTTCCTGCTGAGACTCCCAAAGGCAGCTCCCCATTTGGGCCAGCCACAATGGGGCTGGTGGGACAGGCCACAGGTCCTGTTAGGAGTCATGTGCCAGGGACAGCCCCAAGTTCTGAGCTAGGTACCAGGTCCCTGTTCTGTGGTCACTGCCCAGCGCCATCCAGGCCCCCCCAGCTGTACGCTCAGCACACCCCATGCGTGTTCTTCCCCCCAGCCCCCTCTCACCTGTATGGAGGCTGAGGCCACCTGGCCAGCCTGATCGAAGTCCAGCGAGACGATCTGGGAGAAGCGAGTGGCGTTGCCGTTCATACTGGTGCTGCTGTTGCCAAAAGCCTCTAGGATGGTGTAGAGCGCCTGCCACTTCTCCACTGTGGGGACACAAGCAAGAGGGCGTGTGCATGGCCAGCCCCGTGGCCCAGAGGGCTGTGTTAGTTACAGAGCAAGCGCCTCTGTGTGCCCAAGGTGCAGGGCCAGAATGGACAGCAGCAGGGCAACCTCGCCACCCAGGGACCCCAGCGCCACCCTAGAGGGAGCAGGTGCCCTTGGTCCGAGCTGTGCTCCCCAGCTCACGCCCGTGGCCAGGGACCCAGAAAGCAATCCCCCAAGCAACGTGGGGCTGGCAGGAGCCAGCAGTGCTGCAAGGGAGCCCTCAGCGTCCCCTCTAGCTGCCCCAGGAGCAGTGCTGACGGGTCCCAGAGAGCTGCTAATAACCCGCCCAGGCCAGTTGTTGGCGAGAGCAGTGAAGGGCCCATCCAGGCTGCAGAAGCGTCGAGTGCAGCAGATCTCGGCAGGTCAGCGCTCTCCTATCGCCACGGCCCGGCCAGCATGGCTGGGCACTCACCTGAGAAGATCTTCCCCGTGCTGCCAGCTACGGTGGCCAGGTACTGGATCAGGTGCTGGCAGCAGGTAGTCTTGCCACTGCCGCTGCTCCCCAGCAGGACGATTGACTGATCCTGGCGGCTCATCAGCATGTTGCGGTAGGCGGCCTGGGCCACGGCGTAGATGTGTGGAGACATGTCTTCCCTGCGGCACCCTTTGAACATGTGCATCACCTGGGGAGAGTGCAGGAGGCTGGGTGACCTAGCGCGGTGCTGGCTGGGCCAGCCCACTCCCCCTCCAGCCATCCTGGGCGGGGCCCTCAGCCCCACACGAATCGCTCCTTCCCCCGCTCCAGGGCTCCCACGGGCAGGAGCAGGAGCAGCGGACCTTACTCAACGTGCTGAGAGACGGATGGGACAGCATGCCCACCTGCTGGCACCGTCCAGCCACAAGTCCAGCAGGACCTCTCCTCAACACGGGCAATGCAGCCAGGAGAGAACACAGCCAATAACTGCACTTGGGGCTGTCCCTGCCCCCCACACCCGCAGGAGAGTCTGCCCTCGCCCCCATACCAGGAGCACAGACCCCCAGTGAGAGCCCAGGGGCTGTCCGCCGTGCCCGCGAAGCAGGGCAGCACTACCATCGCCGTTACAGACCAGCAAGCGGGGAAGGCTGGCGTTGCCCAGGGCACTGTCACAGAGCTGGGACCACAGCACTTCCTGGCTCCCAGCCCTGGGCTCTGTCCCCCGGCCACTCTTCTAGCCTGCTGCCGGTGGAGTGGGACCCCCGTGGATTGAGTGCAGAAGCTGTGACAAGGGTTAATGCAGCCAGGCCCTGAGCTGCAGCGTTACCTTCTCGGAGTACATGGAGGGGGAGCTGAGCGGGTTGACGACCAGCACGGTGGGCCCCGCGTAGGTGTGGATCAGGTTACCCCCGTAGCGCTGGCGCACCGTGTGCAGCACGCTGGATTCATTGAGATAGACGAGGTTGGCCAGGTCCTCCACCCGGTCACAGGACGGCGGGTTCGCCTGGGGACACAGAGGGGACAGGCAGCATCAGGCAGGGAATCCCAGCCCCTACCCCACACAGCCCCTGCCACCGCAGGCACAGATCCACTTCTCGCCCACCCCGCGGCCCCTGCTCCTGCCCTGCCCCCCCAGCCAGAGTCAGGGCACAGGGCTCCCACCTTCTCCACGTCATCCTCGTCCACTTCCAGCACGGCCCCATCGTGGTCCAGTTTCACCTTCACCTTCCCTTCGGGCAGGAGGCTCGCTTCATCCGCTCGCAGCTGGCTCGCTGCCAAGGGAACACGCCATGGCATGGGCAGGCTCTCCCGGCACCATAGCCCCTCGTGTCCCCCCCTCCATCTCTTCCCGTGCCCGGGGACACGCTGACACCTAGTGGTGGAGCTCTGGCACTGAGGCCAGGCTGCTCCTGCACACCAGGCCCCACTTCTTCCAGACAGCAGGACGGGGCACTCCCCTGGCCGCGTCTCCCCGCGCCGGCTGGAACCCACTGGGCAGCACATGACACGTAGGTGGCCAGGGACCTGGCTGGTTACCACTTGCCTCCCTGAGCCCTGGCACGGGCGTGGAGGCTCAGGAGAAGGCACCCCGCTCTCACACTGCAAGGGCACACTACTGATGCCTTCTGGAGCTCTGCTTTTCTGCCTGTCACCTGGCAGGTCAGAGCCAGGCTAGAGCTCTGCCCCGCGCCGTTAGCGGGCGAGCAATGCTCTGGAGAGCAGCAAGGGGGGCTGTGAGCAGAGCCGTGGTCTAGCCCCACTGCACGGCACTGCCCCAAGGAAGCCAAGGCCAGGGCCCCCCATGGAAGGTGAAGGACAACACTCACCCAAGGAGAAGCCATCCTTGTGGACCAGCCACACCTTGTCCGTCTCATACCAGGCCTCCTCGGCAGCGATCTGCTCCTCCGTCTTCGCCTGCCAGAGTGAGGAGAAAGGGGAAGAGGTCACGGCTCAGGCTGGGGGGACTGGACCATCAGAGACTCCAGCACCGCCTCTCACCCTGCTGCCCTCCCCTCTCCCCACCCAGGCGCCCCCTGATCACCAGGACAGAACCCAGCCCTGTGCCGGGGCTCCCATCCAGGGAAGAACTCAGACCCAGAGAGCTCGGCAGTGACCCAGAGGTGGGAAAGCTGGTCCCTGCTGTTCCACGTGACAGAGCCTGGCTCTAGCCATCGAAGGGAGCATGGCAGCATCCCTGCGCCACTAACAGCCAGCGTGGTCTGCGCAACACAAGCTCTCAGAGCAGCCACCCAGCTCCAGCCAGCCTCACATCGGGTCTTGGACCAACACAAGCAAGCTGAGTGTGCGACCCCCTCGCACCCCAGAAAGGAAGAGCAGGGCAGGGCAGCGGGGAACACAGTGCATCCTGCAGAGCAGAATGAACACAGGCCATGTGCACACAGGGAGAGTGCAGAGAAGGGACAGCCCTAAACCTCCAAGCCAAGTGAACAATGTATGCAGCCCCTGCCCCCCCGCACAGGGCATGGAGCGCACCACGTGGCAACTCTGCAAACGGAGACACCTGGAGTCTCACAAAGCAACACCCCCACAGCCGTGCAAACAGGGCCCCACATAGACAGCTCTGCAAACCAGGCCCAGCTCTCTGGGGCTCGCGGGACAGGAGAACTGCTGAGGGTGGGCCACAGGGGAGAACCGGGGGTCAGGCTATTTGGCAAAGCTGCCCAACAGCGGGCTCTGCTGGGTGGAGGAGTCGTCCCGAGGGCAGGCCCTGAACCTTGGAGTCACTGGACAGGGCCATGTTCCTTCAGGGAGCAACCCCAGGCTGGCCTGTGGAGAGTAGATTGGACGGGCCCAGGGGGCTTTTCCAGCTGTCCTGGCTAAGACCTTGTCCCACCAACGACCTCATGCAAACGTGCAGGGCAAAGGCCTCATGCAAACAGGAAGAGGGGGAGCAACACACCAGCACACAAACAAGGCAGTCCCCCCCCACTCCCCAGCATCAAGCAAATTCACAGACACTCCCAAAAACGTTAGTGTGGTCAAGCAGCCAAACCTGAGGCAGGGATGCAGCAGAGGCTGGGCCCAACTTGGCTGCTGGGGCATCGTCCGCCTGTCCCTATTGAGGCCGACGGGGAAGCAAGGTGTAAAGGGTTAATGTCCTCTCCCCCCAGGGGAAGGCGCAGAGAGCAGGTAAGCCACTATGAGAAGCGAATGGAGGTGAATGGGACAAAACCTGCCGACCATGCAATGAGGGGCCAGTGGCACCGCGTCTCTCCCGACCCTTCGGCACAGTCAGCACTGCCCCGAGCACCCCCTGCCACGCTGCAGGAGAGTGTCCGGTGCCCATGCTGCACTCAGGGTGGCAGTGTCCTGCAGCCCCCACCCACAGCTCCCCTGCTCCTGGGCTGCTCCAAGGGTCACAATGAACAACAGTGCCCTGCGTTTCCCAGCGCGCCCCCCAAGCGCTTTGCAGAGCTGGGCCTCTGAAGAGAGGCCACTGACCTGCCCACGGTCACCCAAGGAGTAAGTGGCAGACCTGGAGTGCATCTCCCAGGCCTGGGCCTTGACCTCAATGCTCTGCCCCACCACACGGGAGGCCTGGGGGCAAGCCGCCCTCCCTGCCTTGCCGTGCCCCCCAGCTATCCAATCCACAAGCAGCTGGGAAAAGGAGGAGCCAGTGGGAAGGAGGGTCCCGCCTAGGCTAACAGGCAGGCTGCCGGAACGTCGGGGAGGAAGTGCTAAAACGGGCATGTTCTCCAGCACGTGGGGGAACCCTCGCCCCCTGCTCAGGAGGGTGAACGGGACCCCCCAGCATTGCAGATTCTTGCTCCCCAAACGCAGCTGCGTGCGTGTTTGGGAGCAAACGTCACGGAGAGTCCAGCTTGGCGGCTGAACGGGCAAGAGGACAACGCTCCAAGACACGCCCAGCCCAGCGCCCGGAGCGCTGCGGACCCCGCCATCCCTGGGTGACTGCACAGCCAATAACAGACCAGAGCCCACTGGGGCTGGGCGATCGGTCGCACTCGCACGTCCCCCCAGAGCCCAGGAGGGGATACAGGTTTCACTGCTGACCAGCAGGTGGAGACAGAGACTGCACCTGAGGCAAGAGGCTCTCGATTACCCATTTACCTGCCGGGCCGGGGAATGGAACCTGCCTCCTTCGCCCTGTCTACAGCCGCCCGCTGGGCTCATCAGACCAGCCCCGGCTCGGGAACCTCGTCCACACTCAGGTGTTGGCAGCCTTGGGGACCCAAGTCCCCGCTGGAGGTCTGGGGGAGTTTACTGCCTATACCACTCTGCTGCTCAGCCAGGCCCTTCACCTTTGGGCGTTTGTTGGTACAAGGAGCAGGCCAAGTGGTGGCACCCGTACAGTCGAGAGGCAGCCTACTCAGTACACAGGGCCTACAGCTGGGAGTCAGGACTCCTGGGTTCTCTTGTCAGCTCTGCCACTGACTCCTGGGGACAGACAGCCGGCAAGGGTGCGGCGTCCTTCGTCCCACTCACTGTTAGCAGGTGAGGACCTGGGAATGCAGCCTTTTGCGGAGACGGTTAACAGCTGCTCCTGCTCCTCTTGCCTGAGACTGTCCAACAGCCTCCCCATGCCCACACTGATCTGCATGTCTGTCCTCTGCTGCCAGCCCAGCGCCAGGACTGTACTCAGCAAGCTCACGGGCACCATCCCGGTGCAGAGCTCACACCTCCTGCTTTCCGGGTGGGAATAACTCCCACCCCAAGGCAACTCCTGCACAGAGGTGAACAAGTCAAGCTGCAGCCAGGAAGCCCCGGTGCACGAAGGCAGCCACTGGCCTGAGGGAGACCCACACTAGCTCTAGAAGCTTGGGGAGGCCAACAGTCAGCGGCACTGGCCAATGCAGCCTCCCGCTGCCGGGAGCCGGGCGGCCTGTTCCCCGCCCCGCCGTACGCAGCCTCCCGCTGCCGGGAGCCGGGCGGCCTGTTCCCCGCCCCACACACGCTTGCCTGGCTAGTAGGAGGAAAGTCTCAAGGCCAGAGGAAATACGGCTCATTAGTAACACACGAGCCCCCGCCCGCAGGCGGGCGGACTTGGGACTACTACAGAATGGCTCCGGAGCAGGTCTAGCTAGCAGAATGGCAGGACTGAGCGGGGCAGAGAACCGGATGGGGCAGGCCGGAGAGGAGAGAGGTGAAGAAAGCCTTACACTCCAGCATGAGGCGCGTGCACAGACACCAGCCCAGAGGCAGACAGACGACGGTGGGAGGTCACTGGTGGAAGCAGAGAGCTCCTGTGGGCAGGGGTACAGTACCTGACTCTGTGCTGACGGGGAGGCCACAGGCTCCAGCTAATGGCAGCAAGGCAAGAAGGGGAAAAAGGAGAAGAAAGAGGCTGAGATAAGCAGAGAATCGAAGGAAACACTCCGGCCAGCGACCCCAAACAGAGCAGGCTTGCGACTGCCCAGGCCAAAACCCCACGTCAACATCCAACCACGCGCTGCTCCAACCAACCACTTCCCCACGGCTCAGGGGACACCACCACCCTTCTCAGGCCAGTGGGGCATCACTCTACCAGCAAGGCCAGCTCCCAGAGCCAGCCAACTTCTGCCGGCACCTCGCACGGGCTCCGGCGTACGCGAAGGAACTGCACGGCAGTGTCTCAACGGAGCCTGGCCTCCAAGCCAGTGCAGGAGTCGCAGCAGCTGGCTCTGCTCCCTGATGACGAAACCCCTCGGTGGAACTGCTAATCGCCTGGTACAACCATGAGTGAGCCAACAAGGATGTGATGCTGGGCTGGGTCCACAGTGAATGGGTCTGACCCCAGGGACTGCAGCCTGCATCACAGAGCAACCCTGCCCCGGCCCTTTCAAACCCCATCCCGCAGGGTACAATCCGCTGAGCCTTCCCCTACTGCAGGCCAGGTTGGGTTTCCAAGAGCCAGTGCTGCAGAGTGGACCCAACAAAGCTAGCCCACCTCTGACTCCAGCCAGCCACCACACAGGAGGGGTGACACGCTTCCCTCTCCAGGCTGCAGAGCGCCAGCAGCCTCACCCCAGTGTTACCCTTCTACACGTGGCACAAGTCCGCCTGGCCACGGCCTCTCCCCGACGCTCCGCTAACTCCCACCCCCGGGAGTCAGAGGAGAGGGTCCAGACAAGGGACGAGTGACCCGGGGCCCGTGTCGGGACATCCCCTGCTGCGCTCTGGGTCACTTGCCCCACCCCCCAGGTGCAGCAGTTGGTCCGTAGCAGGCAGCTGAGGCATTGGAGAGGAAGCGCGGGAAGCAAACGGGGGCCTCTCCTGCGTGGGCAGTGCCAGGATGAAAGGGAACGGCAGGCCCCCGAGCCGCACACACCCTCCTACGGGCAGTAATACTGGCAAGGGATAGAAGAGGGGCGTCCTCAGAGAGCAGAGCGCCGCTCCTACCCTGCCCGCTGGCCAAGCAGCCCTTAGCCCCGGGGCTGTGCGCCCTGGACGTGTTAGTGTAGGTAGCTGGTGCTGATACGTGTTTCACACAGCGAGGAAAACGGTTTTTGTGGAAGAGAATCCTGTGACCTCTGCAGCCAGATGTGGGGGGCAAGGGGGGATTTGATCAAACCAGGGAGCTCCAGCACACGACAGCGGAGGCTTCTCGCCAGCACCCGCAGCCTCAGGGCTTAGAAGCTCCTGATGGCTCCCAAATGGCGAGGAGAGGTCTGAGGTGCCTCCCGGCAGCTCCCAGGCACACGGAAAAGCAAAGGGAGCGCACCAGCCCACTCCCGGAGGCACTCCGAGTCAGAGCTGCCACACACACGGGGCACAAGCAGCGGGGAAGCCATAGCACGCTGGCTGGGAGAGCTGAGCAGGTGCATGTACACAGGTACGTAGGAATAACTCCTTGAATTACAGCAGCCATGAAGATCCTCTCCAGCCTTCTGTGAGCTTCCTCCACGGGGGTCAGCTGGGAACCGGGGCCGGCTGCAGCCTAAAGGTCAAACCAGCATTAGCGTCACCCTTCGTGCCACTCCCAGCCCTGAGCAAAGGAGGCAGCTGGGGAACTGGCTGCTGGCAAACTGCTGGGGTGCTTTGCCAAAGGCAGGCGGAAGCTGGCCTCCTTGGGCCCTCAGAGCTGCTGACAAATGCAGAGGAAGTGTGCGTTTGCCCCCTGAACAGCATGGGAGTTCGCATGCCCTGCATGCTACAGGGAGAGGGCTGGGGCAAGGCTCCCTCAGGGAGGTCTTAGCCCCTTCTCCCGCTGGGAAGAGCCGAGGCAGAGCCTGCAGCCAGCACTCCCCAGGGGGACGAAGGCACACAGCATTCACAGCTCCCAAGCAAAGGCCTCACCGTCTGTCCGGGCTGGCGCACTGGCCCATCTGCCCACGCAGGGCACCGAGGGGGCAGCACTTGTAACACACTCCACCAACACTACGAACTAGCTGGAGGTTAACACTGCTGAGCTCACATGCTCACCACGCGGCCCGGGGGCCCAGCGGGGGAGGGCTCCATGGTCCTGAGTCCCTGCGTGGGGATCCAACCTGTTGGCTGAGCAGAGGGGACGCTGGCCTGGCCCCCCACTAGAAGAGGCGGGGGCTTGCTGCAGTGCCTGGCAGCCGCTAAGGGCAAGGAGGAAGGGAGGGGGCCGATCCAGTGCTCCCAAGCTAGAGAGCCGAGGGGTTCACCCAGCACGAGGGGCCCGTGGGGGAAGGGTACGGCCAGTCACACCCGGAGAACCAGTGAGTGGCATCCAGAAGCTCAGGCCGAGCTGAGGAGGGTGAGTGGGTCTGTGGAGGAGGGGGCTCAGGGAGGGGGTTCTTTAACGCCACCGGCTCCACTGGTTGCTGTAGCAAGACAGACTTGAACTGCAGTGGTTTGCGGCTCCCAGGCCAACGCACATGGCGGCAGGGCTACATTTAACGCTGCATAGCAAAGGCTTCTTCAGGTTCCCGCAGAGTCTGCGTGTGCTCGAGGGCGGCGATACCAGAGCCAAGGGACTGCGCTCGCAAGCAGCGACCCTTCCGCAGAGCCTGACCAGGCAGGCCGGGGCCCGGCAAACTTCCCCCGGGGGGAGAGGCTGGAGCCAGGCCCAAGAGCTGCCATGCAGGCAGAGCTGCCAGCCAAAGATCTTGGCTCTCTGGCCACATTTCTGGAAACACACCCGACACCAAAGCAACTGTCCCAGGAACATGCTAGTTACGGGGGGGGGGGGGGGGGTGCTCGGATCGTACCCCCCACACTAGAGTGCGCCCCGGGCAAACCAGCAGCACCCACCTGGTAGCCGAGCACTCACAGGAGCAGGCCACTGCTCAGCCATTCACAAGGAGGGCCTTGCCGCCCCGGAGTCCAGCACACGCCCAGGCACGGCCACTGCCAGGTGTGTTCTACCCGGCCAGGCTGGCACGCTCTGCACAACTCCTGAACTAAGAGCTTAGCCAGCTACCGTCTCAGTGACACTGCCTAATGGTGGTCACGGGCCTTTCACAGCCCCCGACAGCACCGGCATCCCCTGTCCCCAGCTCCCCCACCCAGCAGCTCACCACGCACACCTGCTGGGGGGATCCCTCTGCGGCTCCTGGGGGAGGTAGCTGCTTCTCTGCTGGCTGGGGTTCCTCCATGGAGCGAGCCGGGTCAGACAGAGACAGGGACGCTGAGTGACTTGGGTTTGTCCTTCGGAATCCCGGTAAGGAGACCAGGCGAGGTTCCCCCCCACATGCTGGGCTGGGCCAACGCCCAGCCTCACATACGCTGCACAGCACACGTCAGGCTGCAGACTAACCAACATTTCACACCACACCGGGCTAGCACCAAAGGGGCCGGGAAGGGGCGTGTGGTTAGGACGCTGTGCTGGCATGCAGGAGACACAGGTCAGGTTCCAGGGGCAGAGGGCTCGTGGTGGCACGAACAACGGGGCCAAGCGCTCAACGCCTTGGGCAGGCAGGAACACCTGGCTCTGCAGCGCCCCCTCCTGTCACTCCGGGAGTGGCAACGATGGCTCAGAGAGGGACCTGGGGAACCGACTCCCAGGTCTTGAGAAATGAACAGCACCTGCGAGAGGTTCCCAGGAAGCCCTGTGGGTGGCAGGGGTGTGCTGCTCTGAGCGAAGGGGAAGTACTAACTGTCCCTGGTTTGGAGCAGCCGGGGCAGGGCACCAGCGTCCTGCACAAGGACCTGGCTCCCCCAGGAGATCCCAGAGGTTCTGCCCGTTGGAGGAAGGGGGCAAAGTCTGCTCTGCGAGCCCCCCCAGTGCAGTGCCCTGGTGGAATGAGCTCTGTCTCTAAAACACAACCCCGAAACAAATTCTTCGGAGACTCGCTACCAAACAGAGCTGGGAGGGGAAAGGTCATAGCCGACTGCTGCTGGACCCCACCCCTCTCCTTATGACATACCCGGAGCTCAACAAGGGGAATGAACAGCCAAAGGGGCTGCCATTGCTAAGCAGCCGCAGGGCTCCTCCTCCAGCCCTGGCTCGCAGGCGAACAGGAGCAAGCCCACACGTTGGGACAGGTCCGATAACCGGCCCCATGCACTGACCTGGGAGGAGCAGCACCAGCACGGGGCTAGGAACACGTAGTAAGTTACGGTGAGCAGCTCACACCATGCACCTGTCACCAAACAGATCGAACTGGCACGTCCTCGCACTCCTGCGAGGAAAAGCCATGCACCGCACGTGTGCACGGACACGCACCCAGACCCTGGATGTGTGCTGGCAGTGATCACCACGCTCAGCCCCGCGGCACTCACAAGCAGTGTTAGGAGTGACAGGCCCAGACCACACACCGGTGCCATGCATCACCGGTCTAGACTGCACACACTGGTGCGTACCTTGGCTTGCCCCAGGGCAGCTGCTTTCTGAGGTGCCACTTGTGTTGGCTCCACTTTGGCTCCTGAGGGTTGCACCGTCTGCTCTTGCTTTGCTTTGGGGTCTGGGGTGGCTACTGGCCCTTCCTCCTGCGCAGGAGACGGGGAGCCAGGCTTCTCGGGTTCCTTCCCCACTGGGGGTGTTTTCAGCTTGGGAGGTTTCTCCTCCTCCTGCTTCTCCGCTGGCCTGAGGCGAGGCCTGTGCTGTTTGGTTTTGCCTCGGGACATCAGGCTTCTCAGACCCACCGAGATCTCATCCTTGGGGCCAGTCTCCTTGGGCTCCGGCTTCGGGGAGGACGCAGGCAATGGAGATGGAGACACCACCCTCGGTGGCGCCTTCTCTTCCTTCTTGGCAGGCGAAGCTAGCTCAGGAGACTTCACGTCCCTCCCCAGCTCCTTGGTGCTGCTAGAGTCCTCGCCAGGCAGGACTTTGCGCACCACCTTCCGCACCACCCTCACCACTCTCTTCCTGGACAGGCCCTGGCTCTCCTCTCCCAGCGGCTCTGGCTGGGCCAGCGAGCCAGCCCTGGATCCTTCCAGGCCATTCATGGTCTGGGCAGGTGCGAGGGAGGGCGGCTGGTTATCACCGTTGAGCAGCGGCTCTGGGCTCTTCACTCTCTCCGGACACACTGGAGGCTCTGGGCTTCGGGAAGCGGGTGGCTCGTCTTTCCCTGCATTTGGATTTTCTGACTACAGTTACAAATACATGACCACATTACAGGAGGACATCCCCTTACCACAACACACACACATGCACACCGAGACCTCGCTTCAGCAGCTAACCCAGCCCCAGCCTCCCCTGCAAACCCCTCCAGTGCATCCACATCGCAGGTGACACAGAGAGAGGAGAAGAGTGTTCTGGGCTCCATCCTGCACCCACTGCCATCAGCAGCAGTTCTGCCATCGGCTGCAATGGGTGTAGGACTGGGCCTTGGAGCTACAGACGCTTTGTTTAGTGTTCACGGTTTTCCCAGGCCAGGACAAGCTTGTTCTGAGACCTCGCCATGTGGCATGGCTTACAAAGAGCACTGGTAACAAAGCTGCACCCCTCCCGGAGTCCAGCCCAGCCACTGCTCTGCAGGGCGCTCCCCAAGGACGGGTTTGGAAAAGGAGCCGCAGTGGATGGCTCCCTCTGGAGAGGGCCTTCTTCATGCGCTGCTGCTTTGAGCTCGAGCACCAGGGCTAACGGAAACACTTCCAGAAAGTTTCACCACATCTCCAGGTGCAGGCAGGCAGAAGATGATGTCAATGTGCGACCCTTCCTGCCGGGGCGTCTAACACCAAAATGCTGGGGGACACCTCCCCGCAACAGGGGAGAGGGGCACCCGCAGCACAGGGGATGGAGGACAGTTGGTCCCCACCTCCTGCAAGGGCCAGTCTGGTGGGGGGCGGGGGAGAAACCTCTCCCTGCACTATAACTGGAAGAGATAACCTGCAGACGACAACTCCCACCTGAGCCTAGACCAGCAGAGCTCCCCCCACTCTGGGCTCAGTGGCTCAAAGCACGTACGGATGGTTGGGGCTCCTGTCTCCACCATGACGCACACACAAGTCCTGCACGGGTTGGGGGACTCCTCTCAGAGGTTTATGTTGCTGCCAGACTCCAGCGGGACCAGCCCAAGACGTGGGCATTTTAGCCGAACATAATTAATTCAAGGCCTCTGCTGAGACTTTCCATGGTGAAGGAGGCAGCAGGGGTGGGTTCCACCCTGCCCCAACTGTCTGCAGAGAGGCAGGTGGATAAGAAACCTGGGAGCTGCCAATTCCTTGGCAAGAAGGATAAACAAAGGGCTTTGAACTAACTCTTGGAGCCAAGTCCTGTGGAGTCAGCTCTGCATCATGTCGTTAGTGATGGCTGCAGCAGGAAAAACCAAATTACTGAGAAACACCCTGTCACGGAGTCCCCGGGCGATGCTCTAGAACTGCTCCCCACAAAGCCAGTCAGGACTTTGGGGAGCCTCCTCTCCCTCGGAGCAGACTGTCTTCAGGGCAAGAAGCTCACACGGCTTCACCTCCTGGGTTTCTCCTGGAGCATTCAGCATATGCCCCTCCGTGTGCTTCCCACAGTGAGTCCGCCCAGGCGGACCCTCTGGCTTCCCCAGGACCCCTGCACACACCCCCACTTTGCAGTCAGATGTGACTCTCAGCCAGCCAGTAAAACAGAGGTTCATTAGATGACAGGAACACGGTCTAAAACAGAGCTTGTAGGTACAAAGAACCGGACCCCTCAGCCGGATCCATCCTGGGGTCCCGCGAGCCAGACACCCTGTCTGCCCTCACTCCTAGTCTCCAGCCAGCTCCAAACTGAAAACCCCTCCAGCCCCTCCTTTCTGGCCTTTGTCTCTTTCCCGGGCCAGGAGGTCACCTGATCTTTTTGTCTCCAACACTTTCAGTTGGTACCTTGCAGAGGAGGGGCCCAGGCCATCAATTGCTAGGAGACAGAGTGTTGGGCATTTATGTACACTGGCCCTTTGCTCTGCAGCAACTATACACCTTTATTCCACCACCTAGACTCTTAAGAACTGCATAGGGGAAACTGAGGCACCCACACAGTATTTAGAGAAAACATTAAGAACAGTCCCAGTTCGTCTCACACCCCTAGGCCCAGAGGTCTGCTCTTCCCATCCTGCCAAGAACGAGTGGCTCATACCCATCCTCCCACACCCACCACGATCCAGGCGGGGAGAGATGCAAGATCCTGGGCCAACATAGATCCCGCTGGGTGTCTCAGGCTGCTGCCCTAGTCCTGGTCTCTGTATGCAGCTCGTCCTGACCACACCCCTCACCTGTCCCTCATACGCACCTGCCAAGACCTTTGTCTGTCACTCAGCTCTGGGCTGCTCTCCCTGTGAACGGTTACAGCCCTGGTCTGAGACTAATGGAGCATGTTACTGGTGATAGTGAAATGGATCCCACTAGCATGGTGCTGCCCCTGTTTGATCGCTAGGTCTCCAGCCAGCAGCTGATACTTTGGAGAGGTAGGAACAAAGCCAGCTAGAGTCTGCATTTGGGCTGGTGCCACGCAGGGCAGCATCTCCCAATCCCACCGCAGTTTTCTTTTCCCTAAATGCTGCCAATACTGTCCCACCATTCAAAGCTGCGCGCTCAGAACAACCCCTCCAGCCTCGTGCAGGAAGCTGCGCGCTCCATTTCGCTTTCTATTGCAAAGGGGGGGGGGAGAAATCAACCTGGCCAGCAGGGGTGCTGCAGCCTGTTCACACGCTCAGCAATTCTCCCTGCAAATCGGTGCCCCACTCACAGGGCACGCCTTGGAATTGCCTTCCCAGCTCATTTACCATCGCGTAGGACGTTAGTCCTCATGCAAACCACACAGGAACCTTTTATCCACCCCCAGACAACCCCACCCCCCAACGCTCCAATTAAAGCCAACACAGGAAAGAAGAGAGGTGCTGAAAGTGGAAAGAGACCAGCAAGCAGCAGAGTGCCTGTCTGAGTGAGCAGCCAAGCCCCCAAGGGGTTAACCTTGCACAGCAGGTGGTGACAAAACCCAGGTTAAAGAGACCCCGTTTGTGTCACCGCTCCTAGCCAGAGCGGGTCGCATGCCGGTGAGATCTGAAGCAGGGATAATACCTTAGACTTGAATCTAGCCTCCTTAACAGACTGCACTGCAGCACAGCCTGCCTTGAGAAGCACTCTGCAGCAAGTTGACTGGGAAGGCAAAGCACTCACAAAAACCGCCTCTCCGGGGGTGCCCACTGTGCACTTGACTCCCCACGCCCCAGGCCCCTGCAGGAAGGACAGGGGCCCACAGCAGAAGGCATTCAGAGGGAACAGGGCTTGTGACAGCTCAAGTTAGGCAGGTGAAGGACCCCTGCTCTCTTGTGCACTATGCTGCTCTGGGGAGCAGCTCCCAAGAAAGCCAGCTCAGCTCTGTGCCTGGGCTGGATGTGCCATGACTGCAAATACCTTACGGGCAAAGCCCTCCCTGGCGAGGGACAGGGATCCCCTGGAAAGGCGAGCTGCGTCCCAGAGCCCCTGGACTCGGTGACGATCGGGTGGCCGGTCTGTGCCGAGTGGCTGCCAGCCAGCCCTCTTGTCAGCTGGGGAAGAGCAAGCGCGCGGAGGAGCTCCCAAAGGGTCAGCCAGCAGCAGCCCACATGGGATCAACGTTCCCAGCACCAGGGACCTGCCTGCTGATACCGCATCAACCGAGATGTTCGCTGATCAATGCCACTGAAGTGAGAGGTGACACTGCTGGGTGTCAGAGGGGCAGCATCTGCACAGCTCCGCTACCGCAGCCTGCGCTCTGTGTCTGAATAGCGGGATGGCTCTCTGGACGCGGGACTGGAGGAGAGGAGGCTGCACCCAGCCCAATCTGCCAGTCATGCAGATTAGTGATGATGCTGTATGTATCTTTCTGTAAAGTCACTTTTATAGCGATACAGTCCCAGCAAGATGAGCTGGGACTTTGGTAAGATTACCGCTTTACCAGCGCTGTTTGTCATTTCTTTCCTCTGGAGGGGTCCCACAGAGCTTTGCTAACCACCAATATACAGGAATCACTTGATCCACCTCTGGGGAGGAGCCGAACAGCTCATGCACAACAACAGAGGAAAGAAAGGAGAGTTTGGTGTGGGGACAGGAGGCACAAGGACACTGACGGACTAAAGGTCCTGGGACATGCTAGCCCTGCACAGCAGAGCAAGCCTGGGCTCTTAAGGGTGCATGTGAAAAACCATCCCAATAACCTGCCACCACTCCATGGATCGGCCTGGCGAGGAGCACAGAGCGACCCTGCTGGGACGTGAACCACTGCTTCCAGCGGCTTCGCATCTGAGCCTTAGCGCAGCAACCAGCCATCCCCTCTCAAGTCAGCTGATGCCCTCTCCTTCGGCTCCACCCTCATTAGCACAGAGGGATCTGCCTCCAGCCCTGGGGGTCAGCATCCTACAGGCCGTACGTGAATGCAGAATGACACGCCAGCCTGCTCAGAGACCACTTCTACCTGCATCTCATGCTCAGCCAATCAAATCCCCGTTCTGCTTCCATCCCGTCTCCAAGGTAACCACCCCGCAGCCACAGAATCACACCCCCTGACCCCGATAAGCGGGCACTAGGCAAGGGGGGCAGGCTGGCCTGACGGCTCAAAGCAGCACATGGCAGAGGCAGCCTGGGCACTGCCACATGGGATTCACCCCGGAACCTCTACAGGCCTCTCAGGCCTACCCAGGGGTGTGACCAGCTGCCCCCAGAGGGAGCCGCACCCAGCCCTCTGCGCCTGGGGAGCGCGGCTTCTCCTCACTGGATAAATCCCACCCTCAGAAAGGAAAAACAGCAGCAGCAGCAGCTTTGCTGAACCAGATGCTCACCACCTTGGAGGGGTAACGTCGCAGCCCCCAGAGCCAGAAGCAGCCCGCCACCCTGGGTCCACGTCTTTGTCACCAGCAGTGCTAGTACCAGCCCAAAGAGCGAGCTGCTCATCAAGCAGAGTCGGTCTGGTACCAGCCGTTAATGGCCTTTGGGTCTCAGAGGAGGTTGTCTGGGCCTGTGAGTTAGCACGAGCTGGATGCATCACTCAAAGCTAGCCCCCCGATCCCACAGACACTTACTGCCCCATCCTCTTTCCCAGTTTTTTTCACAGATAAATCTTTGTCCTCATCCTTAACCTGGGGGATAAACAGAGAAGAGGGGCACATTTCAGTCAGAGCTCTCAAAGGGACTTCCAGAGTTTCTATTGCACACACTTTGCACTAGCACGTTCTGAGCACACAAGCGTGGCCGAGATCAGAGCTGTGGGGGTGAGGCTGCTTCCAGAGACTTCAGCTCACGCTGCTCCCACTCTTGTGCAATTCACTGCTGCGACCACAAGAGTCGAAGCAGAAGCAGGACCTCTGGAACTCACCACTGCAGGACGCTGGGGCAAACAGCTTAGTAAGGTTCAAAGATGACAACAGTTATGAGACCAAGAGTAGCATTAGCAGATATATTAGCATGGAGAAAGTTACAAGGACTACTGATACTCATGCTTCAGAGCAAAGAGCGGCTGCTTGTGGGGCTCAGGAAGCAACAGCCGCCCAAGAGATGCCATTACACAATGGAGTGTGTTGGGGGGGACTTTTGTGCCTTCCTCTGAAGCATAGGCCATGGCAAAGCCACGGACCCTGACAGTGCATTCAGTACACAGTAAAGCTTATGGCTTCCCTGACATTCACAAGCATTGGAGAGGAGTGCAAAAATGTTTCCCAATTATTTCAAAATCAAAAACCACACCGGGCCTGCTGAGGGGGAGAAAGCAAAGATGACACTGAAACACTCCTCCTGCATGGCTTTGTAACACCACTCAGCTGCCCTAGGTCAGTAACATGCCGACATGCTCCATAGCTCACAGCAGCGAAGCTCCAGCAAACAGGAGGGACTGTATTTGCAGTTGGTGACGGAGCTGGCAACTGAAGCACCATTTCCCCTCCCCAGGAGGATTTCTGGCTTTCTGCTTGTTACTCGGCTTAGCTCTGACAACTGAGCTAAACTGAGTAACAAGTGAAAAGCCAAGTGCTCAGATAAGGAAAGTGACCTGGCTTGGGGCGAGCTGCCCCTGCTCTTACCACATCAGACGCTGTATTGCATGTTAAACGTCATCGGCTAATCTCTCCAGCAGCCATCCCTTTGGAAGCTCTGGCGAACACAAGCACATGCCTTTGCCCGCCCTGGAAAACTCCAGGGAAGGCACGCGGTGACCAGGGCTTCTTTAAACCTGGCAGTGCTCTGAAAAGGCTTCTCTACAACAGAGGATAGACTAATATGGAGGAAACTTTCCTTGGCCTGTGTGATTGTGCCCTGCACTGCATTAGCAACGAGGGGTCGCTGGCAGCAGGAAGCATAGCAACTCGCCAATCAACAGCTGATCTCTAGTCAGGGCAAGCCATCGCCCAAGGTGTGCCATCTTAACGGGGACAACCCAATTACGGGCCTGATCCAAAGCTCACTGAAAACCGTGGAACAACTGCCATGGACTTCACTGGTTCTAGGATCAGACCCTGAGAGAGGCCATGAAAACAGAAAGCAGTGTGAAAAGCCTGAACATGACCGAGTCAATAGTCCCTGCAGTCGGCCGTTTCTCCTTGAAGCCTACCTAACCCCCGGGCCCCAGCTGGGATTTCAGCTATTCCCATCCCTGTTGAGCAGCATTCACGGCTGACTGCTGTCCCCCAGCTTTAGCTGAGGGAAATACAGTCCGTCCCCCCCGCCCCCACATGAGGCAAGTGGCAACGGTTGCAATTAAACGTAGTGAGGAACATCTTCCGTGAAAGGTCAGTCACGAGCAGGCCACTGGCGGCATTAGTAAGTCACCCACTCAGGCCATGCATTAGTAACCGCTCCTTGGGGTACTCTCCCGATACCATGGTACAAGGGGGAACTCAGCCCCCACCCCACACGCACAGCTACTGTCAAACTTGGGTTTCAGGATGTAACAGGCTTCAGTGTCTCACCATTTCACTGCTTCCAGGGCACCCAGGCTCTCAGCCACGGCTCCCGCACGGCACTTGGCCCCCACAGACCGGTGCTCTCCGGAGCAGGAGCTATCACAACACCTTGGGAAGCTTCTCCAGAGCATTTAGACAACCCCCCAAGGAGCTCCCCACCCTGGAGCTCAGTGACTGCATTTAGATTCAGCCTGACTCATGGTACCAAAGAAGTCTCACAAGGTGAGGTCAGTGCACAGAAGGGAATCCTTCCTCACCAGCTTGGGTTACTGCTGGCGCTGGCGAGTACAGCTCCGCCCCTGCTCCCCCAGAATGGCTCATGCTGGCTTGGGCATTGCTCCTGCACATTCCACTCCAGAGCGGCAAGAGTGACTGACCGCACAGCAGCTGTGGGCTCTCCTCTTTGCCTCCCTGCACAGACCCCAAAGCCAAGGTTACAGTAATGTTCTTACAGCACAGCTGGCCCAGGAGCCCAGATGTTAGTGCTGCTTAACACGGGTTTAGAAGACACAGAGTATTTATCAGGCAGATGTTAGTGATGGGGGGAGCAGTTCCCAGTTTGCTCAGCTCACGGGGGGGAATTTTGCCCCGGTGCAGAGGACATCACTGAAATCCCATGTCAGGCCTTGTGCTGGCCGCTGCACTGGGGGGATTGCACCCAAGGGAGCAGCACATCGCACCAGGCGGAAGTTCGCAACAGCTGTTTGAAACCAAGTGCCTGAAGTGCATGCTGCAGGGCTGTGCCCGCCCTCCCAGGCCCCACCACTGCACCCTGCAAGCTCCCCGAACTGGGCAAACTAGGGGCAGCTTCCTGGAAACATGCTGTCTGCTGGGCACACAAACTGCACAAAGGCCGAGCACGGCAGGGACGGCAAACACAAAAGAGACTTCCCTTTTGTTCCCAGAATGCAAACCGTGAAGAAAAGGCCATGGCGATGTCACATGGAGCTGGAACCGGGACAGCTACCCTGACTGGGAGGAAGAAAGAGGAGAGGTGAAACTTACATGAAAGCGATGACCTTGCTTCTTCCATTCAGCAGGGGTGCAGGGCCATGCCTGGGATGCATACGGGGGTAAGACAGGGAAAGGGGGAAGCCCTCCAAGGAAATTTCAAATCATGAATTCTGTAAAATGAGAGCTATTACAAGACGAAGGCATGAGAGCAGAGCCGGACTGAATGCTCTGCACATGGGGAGAACAGCCAGTCAGAGAACCAAACTTCAGCCATGTCTCCAGACAGCAGCTCACGGCACAGACTCTATTGGGAGATACATTTTCTTCTGTTTTCCTGTTAATTAGCTAAAAGCTGCTCCTGCCCTTGCTGTTTTCAGCACCAGCTTTACAGGAGAACAGCATCACAAGACAAGCAGCCAGCTAGTAAAACAGACAGACAGAGCCCCAGTCGTCAGGGCTCAGCTGCTGGTATCACTCCCAGTGTCCCCAGCAGGAACCCCGGCACTCACAGGCATATCTACCCTGAGGAGTTACTGGGATTTAAGCAGCAACTATATGTAAAACATAAACATAATACAAAGCTATACGAAGTGCCCCAATTATGCCCTCTAGGACTAGGGCAGGGTCACTGCTTCCCCTCCTGACCTGTCACGTATTGAGGGGAGAGGCACACCCCCTGCCAACTCTTACATACAGCTCTGGCCTTTGGCAAAGAGCAGCAATTGTGCAGTGTAAAATAGAGATCTCAGCAATTACACTGGCTACACAGCGGTAAGGCAAATTACCGAGGATACAACTCAGCCCAGAGTCCAGCAGCTCAAGAAAGTCTGGCTGCTCCAGTGCCTGGAGAGGAAACAAGCTTCCTAGCTAAACTACGCCCTTTCCTATTTATCACTAACATGTGGCACCGTAAGCGTGCACAGAGCTACGCCTGCCCCAGAGAGCTCCCAATACCAAGCAACACAATGGAGCGAACACACACACAGGGTCACTCTCGCTGATTTCCTGCAGCTGATAACGTGCAGCCATGCCGTACAGCACTGGCGACTCCCGGGAGCTATACGAGTCCTGACAAGGAAACCTCTGCAGCCCACCTCTCCATTCACACGGCAAGAACAAAAAACAACAATGGACTGAACTCATGCCGGCATTTTGCCCCATGTGGGTGTGGCTAGAAGCTGAAAGGCTCAGCCAGCCGGCCTGACGGATGGAGACGTGGGAGGTGCTGGGCTCCAGCGGGGATGAGCAGGGACCACATCGCATGGATCAGTGGAGGGGTTGGTTGGACCTGCATGTGGTGGAATTGTTAGAGCGCAGAGCGAGGCTCGGAGCCCAGCATGGCAGGAGCGCACAAGGGACAGCTCTGCAGCTCTCCGACAGCAGAAACCTGGTGAGCCGAATATAGAGGCCTCCTGGCAACTACCACAGCCTCCATTGGCACGAACTGTCCTCGGCTGCCCGTCCATCATCACGGCACCAGTCAGCTAGAGCCAGGCTGTGCAGAAATCAGCTCTCTGGGGGACAGGCGGGGTGCAGGCCTGTCCCTTAGGCGTTCCAATCTTGTCTAGCCTGGGAGAACCCAAGTGAGTGCAGAACTAGTGAAAGGAAAGGGACTTTCCCAGGTTTACCCCTCTCTGTTAACTCCTGTTTAACGCCAGTGCCCCAGGCCCCCCGGAGAATGGATTTTATCACTTCCATCCCTTCGTGAACTCAGGCCCCCAGGGACCCTCTAGCAGCAGCAGCAGGCTGCACACATCCCACTTTTAAAAGCACAAACCAAGCAGATTTATTAAGCTTTCCAGTCGTTCCATACCCTCTCCTCAGGCCTCAAGCCACGAGAGAGAGAGAGCACTAGGCAGAGCAGAGGGCACCCTGTTGGGCAGCGGTGCCTTCGCCCCGTCCCCCAGGAGCGTGCTACACTGAGCTACCCCCTGGCGGATTCAGAGAACAGCCTTGCCTCCAGCACGCCTTGTGGGGTACGCAGTCGCCCTCCTGCCCATGACAGGAGAGGCCAGGCAGACGGGAAGATCCTGAAGATCGCTTCCCCCAAACAAATCCAGTGGGCCCCACAGGATCCTGTCTGAGCTGCGCTCTGGTCACTGTGACTCAGAGAAACAGAACAGGGCTCTGACCCTGCTAGTCCATGAGCAACTCAGGGGCTCAACAGGGCGTAGGCAGGGAGGGAGGTTTAAATCCATTCAAACCCAATGCTGGGCTGGCACCAGCTGGGGGGCCGCCCTGCCCCAGCTCCCTGCAGGGGGAGCCTTTCCCAGGTGAAGCTCTCCGGCGCCGGGGCTGAAGGTAGCACTGAAATCCCCGTGGAAAGTGCGTTTCACAGGCGCTCTCACTCATTCTCAGCCCGAGGGAATGGAACGGCCCCACAGGCCCTGCCCCAGGCTGCTCTGTTCCTTCCCCGGCAAGCCCAGTGTAGCCTCTCCGGGGGAGACTGCCAGACAGCTCTGGAGACGTGCAGCCAGAAACAGGCACAGCCTGGGCAGCAGCAGGACAAGCTCCCCACCCCAACATGCCTCAGCCCTGCCCTGCAGCAAAGCCTCTGGAGTGAGGGGACCGGTCCCTGCCCGCCCCTCTGCCGAGAAGAGTCACAAGGGGTCATTCCAATGAGCTTGCCTGGGACACTTGGCCCACTAAGGAACCCACCAGAGGGCAGCTGACGATATCCTTTGGTCACTGCCGGATCTGGACTGGTGACTAGCAATGACAGATACCCCACAGCCCCCCGAGCCAGCCTGTGGCATGAGCAAGCAAACTCCAGGGAGGAAGGACCTTGTCCCACTGGGCGCCCCTCCCCTCTCCAGCCGGCCCCACACTCGGCACTCACCATTTACGGCGTGTCAGTGCTGCTGGCTGCCAAGCCCCAGATGCCCAGGATTTCAGTGAGCCCAAACAGGGCGATGAGTGGCTTGGGGACGGCCCAGCTCCTGGGCAATGACTGCGTGAGGGCTGTGGCAGGCTGGCCAGGCAGGCACGATCCGCCCGGACCCCTGTACGTAGGGCTCAGATCGGGTGGTGGGAGGGAATCCCTTTGGGGAAGTGAGCTGCTCCCTCCCCTCCCGGAATCTGACCTTGTTACACTTGTCAAAACTCTGACCACAAATTTGGAGGCAGAGGCCTCTGTCTGGTTTCCTGCTTCCGGCTCCGTCAGACAGTCCCTGTATGAGACCAGCTCCGTCCCAGAGGGGAGCCTCCCCCCAGAACCCCAGCCAAGCACTGAGTTATCCAGGGGGTCTCCCTCTCACACAAGACCAGCACACCCCAGCTTCACTACTCAACTGACCCCGGACAGCAGGGACGAAAGGGCCGCAGCTGGCGACGGGGACACGAGCAGGCTGCGTCCTGGCTCCTGGCTGGCGTGTGGCTGCCGTTAGCCTTGTGCCAGTGCTGGGCGGTCCCACTCCCCAGCCTTGGCCCAGCCAGCAGCAGTTCCCCCACAGCCCCACAGCAGCAGGTACTGCTGCTGCCCCTCGGCACAGCCGGGGTCCCTGCTAATGCACCCGCCTTGGAAACCGGTTTCCTTATGCACAACCGTGTAAGCCACAGAGATCCCAACAGGCTTTCCGCACTCCAGAGCTCGGGCCACAAAAACTGGCTCCTCTAAGCCGCTTTTTATCCTCCTGCGTTCGACTGGTCTCCAGTTCTCCCCCCTCTTCTTTTATCTGTACTTGATGATTTGCTTGGTTCCACTTTGCTTTGACAGGGCCAGTGCTCAGACTGCTCGGTTAGCTCCCCCGGACACAGCGAGCGAAGGGTTCTGCATGGGTCTGCTCTGTAACGAGACTGATCCCACAGGCACCAGACCGCTCCTGACGGGGCGGAAAAGGCTCCAGGCTGGTCCTTTACCAAGCAAAGCTTTAAGCCAGGGCAGTCAGTAGGTGGACCGGGGCCAAAGCCAGACCTCCAGACACTTTTGAACTGACTGCAAAATCTTTTTATTTACTTTTATTATTATCATCATTTTCTCTGGAGTCTGGACCTCGACCAAAGATAACTGCTTACCCCTAGCTTAAGCCAACGCTGCGATCCAGAGGGGAATTGAGTGACGCCCAAGAATGAACTCCCCAGCACCCAGACACCACGGTGGTGGGCACACAGCAACGCCCCAGGCTGGGGAAATCCCTGCAGTGGGAGCAGTTGTACTCAGCTCCCAGCCAATGAAGCCAGAGGAGCAGCAGAGTCTGGCTCAGCCGGGCTCCTCACAGCCCAGGGAGTAGGAGATAGCCCTTTGAACAGCAAACATCACATTCCAGGGCTAGGACTCCTCCCCACACCTGCCTCGCTACTGAAAAGCTACTCCAGCACAGCCCCTCTGACAAAGAAAGGGGCTTGGAGAAATAAATCTGCAGCCAGCACATCTCAAGGGCAGGGCCTGGAAGCAGAAATCTCCGGCTGCCCCAGCATTACAATGCAGGAGCTGGTGCCAAGGCTGAGCAGGCTCAGTGAAACGTACCTTCCCCGGAGCACTGGGTGGCACTGCAATGCCGCTGGGAAGTGCCCAAGAGGCTGCCCCAGGAGCCCTCCCAGCTCTGGGGGTTTGCTCAGGTGCCAGCGTTAGCGAACTCCCCGTGAAGGGTTCTCTAGACGTTAGCAAGCCTGTTAGAGTCACCAGGATGGTTAACCAGGGCTCTCCTACGGGGCCCACGCTCCCCGCTCAGCGGGCAGGAGCCGGCCGCACTCTCAGCAGGCCACAAGGGAAATCACACCTCGTCCCACACGTTGCAAACTTCCCCGAGGGCCCCTGCGAAGCCTGGATGCCCGCTAGGCTGAGCCATGGCAGGGCAAATGACTGGGAAACATCAGCACGTCTCCAATACACCCTGGGAAGCATCTAAAAATAGGCCAGCCTTACAATGATGGCCTGCTGGCCCCCGGCAAGCCGAGAGCGCTCCGCCTCTGAGCTGTGGGCCCGCGCCAGGCACTCCGAGCGAGGGGAAGGAGCCCTTACCTGGAGAGCCTTCTACCTTACCAGTGAGCTGGGGCCGGGGCCCTGGCAGCGCCCGAGAGGAGAGTGCCGAGCAGGCAGCCGAGCAGGCAGCCGGGCAAAGAGAGCGAGCGTAACGCGATAGGTAAGCCAAGTGTCAGTTCCCCAGCGCTGCAGCCGGAGGCACAGGGACAGCTGGGCTGATACAGCCACCCTAAAAATAGCCCAAGAATGCAAGGCAGAGCGCAAGCCTGCCCTGGCTCCCTGTCGCCAGCCCCCACCCCCAGTCCCCACTCGCCTTTGCCTGGCCTTTGAATGCACACATGGGAAGAGCTGCACCGCCGGGGTAAAGGGCCTCGCTGCAGGGAGAGGAAGTGATGTGGGCGTCTGGCAGCCGGGCTGCTAAACGCTGCTCTGCGGAAGGAAACCCTCCTCCAAGGGGAGCGTGGCCACCACGAGCACCTCACCCCTCACGCTGCCAGCTACACAGGGGAACCGGGGCTGGACACCGCACCTGGCCCTGCAGAACAGCAGCTGTGGCCAGGGAGCCTCTGGACACAGGCTCGTGTGACAGGGAAGCAAGATAACCCCCACACAAGAGAGGCCAGAGTCCTGCTGAGCTGAGCCCTCTACGGCTCGGGGTGGGACAGCCCCACTGGTTTCCACATGCTGTGCCCGTGCCAGCGACTGCGTCCTGCTCCAGGCCCTGTGCCATGGCAGGCGGTAGAAGGAAGACAAGCAGCAAAGGGAGGAGCCTGGTGTGCAGGCCCGACACAGAGCACAAATAACCCCTCCGGGGAGCAGGCAGGAAACAGGACGGGGGGAGCAGCAGAAATGCAGCCGCGCTCCCCAGGTGGCCGCTTGCTCTGCTGGCAGCCAGAGCTCCTGGGGAGCCAGCGGCTCAGGGAAGGGATAACCCTGTGTGTGTCTGCTCCAGATTCAGGGGAAGAGTGTGCTCCACGCAGCCAGGCTGGGTTCCTTCTTCAAACGCTTCCCCCGGCTGCAGCTCTGCCGGTGACAGCGCTAGATTTTAACCACCACATCCTCTAACTGCTCAGCCTAGGGGGCAGTGATCAGAGCCTGTGTTAGCGCCACCACCAGGGAGACACACCAAGGAAGACATTCCCGCACACAAGGCCAGTGACTTTCACACTATGGATCCACACATACTCCTGGGGCTCAAGGTGCTAAACACTGGTGTCCCCCAGCCTGGCTCACTGGGGTACCAGCAAGCAAGGCTTCCAGATCCAGCCAGCTCACAGGGACTGGGCTCTCTGGCTGCCTTTCCCAAACGGATGCCCGTACACCTTCCAGCCGAAATCCGGAGGGGCCCATATGTTGGACCGTCACAGAGAAACGCATTTCAGGCCCAACATTTGGTCTGCATTGGTAAAACATTTGACAAAGCCTCATATGAATAGAAACAGTGCCCTGACATTTTACATGTGCGGTGAAATATTTACACGGGGTGGGAGAGGACGGGGAAGTTAACTCTTGTCCCCCCTGGATCCAATCCCAAGAGCACAGGAACCAGCCATGGAAACCACGGCGGAATGGCCTGAGCACAGGGAAACGGAGTGAGCAGGCAGTATCTAGGGGGAGAAGCCAACCAGAGCATCTCTACTCTGCTCTCCCCGGGGGGCTGGTAGCAAACTGGGAGGACCCCACGTCTCAGTGCTAGGGGGTAGGACAGGACCCTCTCCTCACCAACAGGCACCTGGCGAGAGTCCAATAAGCCCCTGCTGTTTGCCAGGGAGACAGCCTGGGTGTTTGGGACCTGCCAAGGAGAGGGGGCCAAGATCACAGAGTCCCCAGGGGGAGAGAAGGTGGCAGCACTAATCTATCTGGCCTGGGTGGGAGTAACATGGTGCAGCAGCTCCCGAGCGTGCAAGTACCCCCGTGAGCACAGCCAGCACGTGGAGAGCAGCGCACACGAAGGCACAAAAACAATCTCCCACTTTTAAAGTCGGCCTTAGCCTTTCAAAACCCACTGTGCCCAGCAGATGGCGCAGGCCTCCCGCTCCCAGCTGGCTGCGCTCTGCACGAGCACCCTTCACTAGCCGTGACAGGTTCGTGCAAGGCTCACGGATTTGCTGTGGTGAGGGCACCACCCACTCCTGGAGAAGCAGAGGCGCCCGGATGACTTGCAGAGCACGAGCCCGGCTCTGGAGCACTTCCCTCAGGGAGACGCGGGGGGGGGGGGGCGGGGTTTGCTGCGAAAGCAAAGCCACTGGAGCTGAACTGTGCAGCTGAGCCCTGGTGCAGACACAGAAAAGCAAGGTCCTGATGGCTCAGTCACTAACGACCCCATGGTCCTTTCCCCACAGGGGGGCCCGCCCCCAGCACTCTGGCCAAAGCCCAGTCGGAGCGACTGCATCCAGCCATGCTGCAGCTTTACGTCCGCGTTAAACATCTACTGCATTTCGCTTTCAGAGGTGGCTGCTGTCAGCAGCAGATGCAATCCTGCATAGCTGGCTTAGCCAAAACTCCCACTCCAGCCAAGTGGGCCAGAGGACCCCCAGGACACAGGGCCAGACACAGAGCTTGCAGAGGGCTTCAGGATCCTCCAGGAGGAAATGTCACGTATGAACATGTTCTCACTACAGAAACCAGGAGGCCATCAGAAAACACCCAGAGAACGCTCCTGCCTGCTCCAGGAGGCACGTCAGGCTGTCTCTAGGGGGCACCAATAGCCCCGGGGCCATTCCTAATCCTGCAGCACCCTCATTCCAGTCCTGGGCCCCCACCCAGCTTTGCCAATGCCCCATATTTGCTGGCATGCCCCCAGATTACACAGAGCCTTTGAAAGGAGCTTCCCTCTGCGGTCCTGCACTCAGTGAGCCCTGAGCTTGGTGGCACGTCTCCTGTATAACATCTGGGGGGCAGTCCATGAAGAACCGCAGCCCGCAACGCCTGAGGCCGTGACACCCAAAACAAGAAAGCCTGTGAGAAGAGCGATCTGGCTGGGAGAGCGAACCATGAGTTAATGGCCCTACACTGAATTGCCCTGTGTCCCAGGCCAGCAGGCCTCCATTGTCGTGTGTTCCTAATGAGCGCTAATTAGCAGTAGCTGGGTTCACCCGCCTGTCTGCCAAGCGGCGAGACAGCTGCATGTTCCACAGGCAGCCAGCACTCCCCCAGCCCCAGACACCAGGGTGGCAGGGAGAGGTCAGAGCCCGGAGCAGCGCTGGGACAGAGAGGGACCAGCACTTCCCACTGCGCCATGTAGTCACTCGGGTGGAGGAGGAGGGGCGTGGTGCTGCATTCTCCCACCAGGCACCTCCATTTGCTTATCCCTCCCCACGTTCCCCTGCGCTCCCCCAAGGCCGCAGGATCATGCTGGGATCCTTAGCGTCTCAGCAGCAGAGGGGAGGGCAGGACGGGCCATGCTGCAGAACCCCAGGGGTTACATTTGCCCCCCCCATCCTAAAGGGGAAAAGCAGAGAAGGGAGCATCAGGGCGGGTCCATGGTGCCTTAGCAGCATCCCCTCCAGCCCTCAGAGGGAAGGCGCCTCGGGGATTGGGGGCTCCCCGTCCCCAGGTTCAGAAATATGCCTGAACTGCAGCCCAGAGCTGGGCCCGCAAAGCCAGGTCATTCTCGCTGGCTCTCTCCCCACCCACACCAGCCAAGTCGACAGTAAAGCAGCTTTTGCTGCAAAGCTCGGTAGTGAACGTACAACCGTGTCCATGGCAACAGACGGGAATAGGGCCCTGGGAAGATGAATGAGAACTGGGGGTTTCCTCCCACCTACTCCAACGCTTGCCAGAAGGGGGGCAGGACAAACCACGGCACACGAATGGCACAGGCCAAGAGATGGGGTAGCCCTGGGCAAACTCTCAGCCCACAGGCAGCAATGCCCTGGGGTGTGTCGTGCACCCCCACAGCTGAGGATGGGCCACCAGAATGCCAAGCTGCCCAGCCTGCTATGCAGGGCGCATGGAGGCTCCAAGGGGTCTCGCTGACCCCCTGCTGCTGAGACCTGCCTTCGCCCTGGGCCTAGGGAGAGTCCCCCTCAGGCAGCACACTGCAGGTTCCTGCCGCCCCTGCAGCCAGCATGGCCCAGGTGCTACGAGGGACCCGCTCGCATTTGGCACAGCAATAAGTTCAATACCTGCCGTAAAAATAAGACACCCAGGGCGGGGAGGTCTGTCAAGGTGCAGGGTCAGGCCCGGGACGGCTGCAAAGGCAAAGCCCATCTCCCTGGGAACGGCGGGGGGAGCCACCTGCCCTCCCCCTTCCAAGCCCCCAGGGCAGTGGCCAGCAGTGGAGTCAGGCTCCGGCTCGGGAGGGCGGCTAGAGCACACTGCAGTCGGGTTTTTGCTTTCCAGTCAGAGGCAGCCTGGAGCCCCCCAAAGGAGCGTTTCCAAAGGGCGCGTACGTCACCACGCACGCAGCGTGCCCCGTTCTGCTGGTCCTAAGGAACACTGCAGCATGGCACTGGGGGACCCGGCAGCCTAGGAGTTAACAGGCCAGCTGCAGTGGGCAGCAATGACTGCAGCAATGCGCCTGTTTCCCGGGGAAGGAACCAGCTCCGCTCAGATGCCGGAGAGAGAAGCAGCTGGCACCCGGTTAGACCTGTCTGCAGGCAGGCAGTGTGCAGCCCTGGGGAGATCCCGGCTCACCACGCCACACTGGCTTCCCATGGCCAGGATCCACGGGCACCAGGCTTAGGTGAAGAGACAGGGCTGGGGCTTTCAGAGCAATACCCACGCCTTCTCCATCCCTCACTCTCCACCAGTGCAAGAGGCGTGCACAGAGCTCAAGAAATACAGCGGGCCCCGGTAGCCCAGACAGGGGATTTGCTCGCAGTTCACGTCAGCATCACAAGGAAACATGCTTGGGTTGGCACAACAAACAGGCCAGAAAGGAGTGGTTAGCTGCAGTCCACACCAATACACCACGAGTGGGGAGGAGACTCTTCCTCGCTCTGGAGAGCAGACACCAGCCCTTCAGCTGGCACTAAGCCCCAGGGCCGGCTCTGGCTTTTTTGCCGCCCTACGCCTCCCGCGGGGGAGG